ACAAGAAACAGCATTATGATCTGGCTATACCTGTTTGAGTTTGACCTCTATCTCCGAGGCTCCACTGGGCATGAGGAAGATGTCTGTATCTAAAACCATGTTGTCGTAGAAGTCTGCCTGTCCTAGTCTTCGAGCCACACTCTGCAGCGCTGGCAGCAGGACCTCTGCCTTGTACACCTTACTGTCAACATCACAGGAGCACATCAACATCAAAAGAACATGTCAACATCACAGGAGCACATCAACATCAAAAGAACATGTCAACATCACAGGAGCACATCAACATCAAAAGAACATGTCAACATCGCAGGAGCACATCAACATCAAAAGAACATGTCAACACCACAAGAACATTTCAACATCCACCACTCCAGATCAAACAAAGCTATAGACAAACATACCATCACACCATTGTGTCATTGACAGATGCCTCCACCACTCAAACAAAGCTATAGACAAACATACCCTCAGACATGAGTGTCATTGACAGATGCCTCCACCACTCAAACAAAGCTATAGACAAACATACCATCACACCATTGTGTCATTGACAGATGCCTCCACCACTCAAACAAAGCTATAGACAAACATACCCTCAGACATGAGTGTCATTGACAGATGCCTTCACCACTCAAACAAAGCTATAGACAAACATACCCTCAGACATGAGTGTCATTGACAGATGCCTTCACCACTCAAACAAAGCTATAGACAAACATACCCTCAGACATGAGTGTCATTGACAGATGCCTTCACCACTCAAACAAAGCTATAGACAAACATACCATCACACCATTGTGTCATTGACAGATGCCTTCACCACTCAAACAAAGCTATAGACAAACATACCCTCAGACATGAGTGTCATTGACAGATGCCTTCACCACTCAAACAAAGCTATAGACAAACATACCCTCACACCATTGTGTCATTGACAGATGCCTTCACCACTCAAACAAAGCTATAGACAAACATACCCTCAGACATGAGTGTCATTGGCAGATGCCTTCACCACTCAAACAAAGCTATAGACAAACATACCCTCAGACATGAGTGTCACTGACAGATACCTCCACCACTCAAACAAAGCTATAGACAAACATACCCTCAGACATGAGTGTCACTGACAGATACCTCCACTACTCAAATGAAGCTATAGACCGCGGCCAGCTCCAGATTTTTATAAGGCCCTACAACTGAATCACGGTACATTTTGGAGGAGTCCCCCTCGAAAATAGGTTAATGGGAGCGTTTCCTTGTTGCATTGTGTGACATATTAATATGCTTACAAAGTCCTGTGATCTAAACGTATTCGTATTACAAATCTACAAATGGATATTGTGAAGTGGATATACAGAAATTTTTATTTTAATTTACGGAAGACAGTCGTGTTGTGATGTGTGTGTCAGTGTCACTGTTTCTACTCAGTAGTTCGGATTTTTGGGAACTGCCTGTTTATCACTTTTCTACTTTAAATGTAGAAATCTTACTTTTAGGGATAATACAAACAGGTAATTTAGAAGCCATATCTGGATAATATCGATAGCTGTCAGGTGCAAACTACCTTGTGTTTGAAGAAAACTATTGCTTTCATATTGACTGTGCATAAATGGTGCAACCACACTGTGGATAAATTGTGTCAAGATATTTCGGAGCTCTAGGTAAGTGGATGAAAATAATATTTAATTTACTAACTAACCTCCCACAGCAAGTCACTCTTTGCCATCTTACTAATTGTTGACTAACAGTATAATTATATGTTGTAGCAGTACACTAATAATATTAATCCTTAACCATTTGACTTATGCTTCGTGAACACTGGCTGTAAACTCTTGCGGAAATTTCTGGTTGCTCATCAACTTCTTTTGCATATTTGCAGTTGTACGGCCTATGTTAATTTGTGTAAACTGGCTTTTGCTTCGCTTCGCGAACACTGGCTGTAAACTCTTGCGGAAACTTCTGGTTGTTCATCCACTTCCTATGCATATTTGTTACCAAAAAATTCGCAATGGTAAGGAATTGATTTCATCCAACAAGATGAAACTGGACAAATTTGTTTGTGCTGTTTGTACCTTGAGGATACATATTTGGTAGTGCTATAAGTACTGTTAAGAAAACTACTCTGGGTGAAAAAAATATTGCCCTTATCAATTTCATACTGATTGTGCTTGTTTACTAATTATTAAATAACAGTATAATTATATGTTGTAGCTATAGACAAACATACCATCAGACATGAGTGTCACTGACAGATACCTCCACCACTCAAACAAAGCTATAGGCAAAGATACCATCACACCATTGTGTCATTGACAGATGCCTCCACCACTCAAACAAAACTATAGACAAACATACCCTCAGACATGAGTGTCATTGACAGATGCCTCCACCACTCAAACAAAGCTATAGACAAACATACCCTCAGACATGAGTGTCATTGACAGATGCCTCCACCACTCAAACAAAGCTATAGACAAAGATACCATCAGACATGAGTGTCATTGACAGATGCCTCCACCACTCAAACAAAGCTATAGACAAACATACCCTCAGACATGAGTGTCATTGACAGATGCCTCCACCACTCAAACAAAGCTATAGACAAAGATACCATCAGACATGAGTGTCACTGACAGATGCCTCCACCACTCAAACAAAGCTATAGACAAACATACAATCAGACATGAGTGTCACTGACAGGTGCCTTCACCACTCAAACAAAGCCATAGACAAACATACAATCAGACATGAGTGTCACTGACAGGAGCCTTCACCACTCAAACAAAGCCATAGACAAACATACAATCAGACATGAGTGTCACTGACAGGTGCCTTCACCACTCAAACAAAGCCATAGACAAACATACAATCAGACATGAGTGTCACTGACAGGAGCCTTCACCACTCAAACAAAGCCATAGACAAACATACAATCAGACATGAGTGTCACTGATAGATACCTCCACCACTCCAGATCAAACAAAGCTACAGAAAAACAAACCATCACACCTGTGTGTCACTAACAGGTACATCCATCACTCCAGATCCCACAAAGCTATAGACAAACATACCAGAACTCTCTGTAAACCCTGGCATTGTCTATCTGCTCCACCAACAATTTCTTCTGGCCCCAGTCCAGCTTCAGATTCTCAAGACACTTCCAGGCGGTGAGGAAGAACAGAAGCAGACGGTATGAATCCAGGGGCTGCTCCACACGTGACAGGCTCTGTTGGCCTGTGCTTGCTGGAACAAGCAATTACAACATCTGAGAGTTGCTAAAGCATTAGAGTAGGGGAAGCATTAGAGTGGTGGAAGCATTAGAGTGGTGGAAGCATTAGAGTGGTGGAAGCATTAGTGTGGTGGAAGCATTAGGGTGGTGGAAGCATTAGAGTGGTGGAGCATTAGAGTGGTGGAAGCAGTAGAGTGGGGGAAGCATCAGAGTGGTGGTAGCATTAGGGTGGTAAAAGCATAAGAGTGATGGAAGCATTAGAGTGGGGGAAGTAAATAGAGTGGTGGAAGAAGTAGAGTGGAAACCTGCTGGATATCATCATGCTCTACAACATCTCAGACTGGCAGAAACGAAAGATTGTGAACTTGCTTCATGTCATCAAAGAGATTATGTCCTGCAACATCCGAGAATGGTGGAAACATTAGTGTGTTGACCTACCTAATGTCCTACATCTGTGAATGGTGGAAATATTGCATGTGAACGTGTGTCGGATCCTAGAACATCTGTGAATGATGGAAATATTGCACGTGAACGTGGGTCAGATCCTAGAACATCTGTGAATGGTGGAAATATTGCATGTGAACGTGTGTCAAATCCTAGTTTCTAGAACATCAGATTCTAGAACATCTGTGAATGGTCGAAATATTGCATGTGAACGTGTGTCAGATCCTAGTTTCTAGAACATCAGATTCTAGAACATCTGATTCTAGAACATCTGTGAATGATGGAAATATTGCATGTGAACGTGTGTCAGATCCTAGTTTCTAGAACATCAGATTCTAGAACATCTGTGAATGGTGGAAATATTGCATGTGAACGTGTGTCAGATCCTAGTTTCTAGAACATCAGATTCTAGAACATCTGTGAATGATGGAAATATTACATGTGAATGTGCGTCAGATCCTAGAACATCTGTGAATGATGGAAATATTGCATGTGAATGTGCGTCAGATCCTAGAATATCTGTGAATGATGGAAATATTGCATGTGAAAGTGCATCAGATTTTAGAACATCTGTGAATGATGGAAATATTGCATGTGAATGTGCGTCAGATCCTAGAACATCTGTGAATGATGGAAATATTGCATGTGAACGTGTGTCAGATCCTAGAACATCTGTGAATGATGGAAATATTGCATGTGAATGTGTGTAAGATCCTAGAACATCTGTGAATGATAGGAATATTGCATGTGAACGTGCGTCAGATCCTAGAACATCTGTGAATGGTGGAAATATTTCATGTGAACGTGGGTCAGATCCTAGAACATCCGTGAATGGTGGAAATATTACATGTGAACGTGTGTTGGATCCTAGAACATCCGTGAATGGTGGACTTTTGGTTGACTGTAATTCCAAGTGTTGTAGCTATCTGTCTCTGACAATCACATATACACAAGCAGTCAGTGAAACAACCCCACATGCTATTGCTCTTCTTCTTCTTCTTCGCATTAGCCAACTGTAAACTCTGTCAGAAAGTTCTGGTTGTTCATCCACTTCTGGACTACAGTCATGTATCCAGACCCTGAGTGTTGCGTGTGCATCTGTTTTACAGATCTGACTCATTTGTGTGCAGACTGCCGGTTCCTTACCTCTCAGGCAGATGCAATCCGACTTCGAAAGAAGCTCCCAAATAGTCGATTCTTACGGCATGCTTTTGTGTGGGTCTATTCTTGTTTTCCCCATGATAGGGCCCCGGAACCCACACGGGGAGCTACTGGCTCTATCAACCCCTCCTTCTATCAAATGTAACAAAGACATCAGAGAATTTACCTAAAGCACTTCTGGCTTGTTTCAGCTCAGTGGGCGTACTGAGATTCTTGCCACTGTGAGACTGTTCCGTGGTGTCTCCTCCAGACGGGGACTGCACGTGAGACTTAAGGTCAGGCAGAGAGAATGTAGCATGAGATCCCGTCTGGAGAACATCCTCCATTAACAGACTCACTCCCAGGACCTCACCTCCAGCAACATGCCTGCAGAGTTACAGGTGGAATATATATTACCTGCACACCGGTTTGCCATTCTAATCAACAGTCTACTTTTTTAGAAACAATTTTTATAACAGAGCCCTTAGGTCTACTTTATATAAAAGTTATTCCAACTTTCAATAAATCAAACCATCTGGAGAGATAATATCCAGACAGACCTGCAAACACTTGGTGTCACCAACCGGAAAGAGATATTTTTATGACACCTGTGATTGCAATATTTTTATAACATACCTGTAATTGTAATTTTTTTTTTATAACATATACACACGCTTTATGACATACCGGTGATTGCATTATTTTATAACATACCTGTGATTGCATTATTTTATAACATACCTGTGATTGCACTATTTTTATGTCATACCTGTGATTGTGTTATTTTCATGACATACCTGTGATTGCATATTTTATAACATACCTTTAATTGCATTATTTCATAACATACCTGTGATTGGATTATTTTATGAAATAATTGTGATTGCATTATTTTATAACATATTTGTGATTGCAATTTTGTTATGTCATTCCTGTGACTGCGCTACTTTTATGACATACCTGTGACTGCTTTATTTTATAACATGTCTGTGATTGCAATATTTTTATAACATACCTGTGATTGCAATATTTTTATGATGTACCTGTGATTGCAATATTTTTATAACATACCTGTGATTGTAATATTTTTTAAACATACCCGTGATTGCATTATTTTTATGACACACCTGTGATTGATTTTTTTCTTATAACATACCTATGATTGCATTATTTATAACCTACCTGTGGTTGCATTATTTTATAACATAACTGTGATTGCATCATTTTTTTAATATAATTATTATTGCATAATGTTTTTCACACTGTTTTCCTTTTTCCGAAGCATTATTTGATGATAACTGCCAGTGAATGTCTGGTTAAGAGTTTAAGCAGCTCAAATTTTTTTAAGCTCTTCAAGCGGTGATTATCCTATTTCTCTCTCACACACACACACACATACACACACAACACACACAACACACACAACACATACACACCTGCAGTATAAAGACAGGTGGTTTAGTCATCTGCAGTATAAACACAGGTGGTTTAGTCACCTGCAGTATAAACATAGGTGGTTTAGTCACCTGCAGTATAAACACAAGTGGTTTAGTCACCTGCAGTATAAACACAAGTGGTTTCGTTACCTGCAGTATAAACACAAGTGGTTTAGTCACCTGCAGTATAAACACAGGTGGTTTAGTCACCTGCAGTATAAACACAGGTGGTTTAGTCATCTGCAGTATAAACACAAGTGGTTTAGTCACCTGCAGTATAAACACAAGTGGTTCAATCACCTGCAGTATAAAGAGAAGTGGTTTTGTCACCTACAGTCTACTTGTGGTTTCATGCCCGTAGCTGATATACATATCTATAGTCTTGTTACCTGTAGTTTACACAGTTACCTATAATGTGTATCTCAAATAATCTAAATCTACAATAATGTCTTTCAGCAGAGTGTGACATGCATGAACTAGACAATCACACAAACATGAACTAGACAGACAATCACACAAACATGAACTAGACAGACAATCACACAAACATTAACTAGACAGACAATAACACAAACATGAACTAGACAGAAAATCACACAAACATTATCTAGACAAACAATCACACAAACATGAACTAGACAGAAAATCACACAAACATTATCTAGACAAACAATCACACAAACATGAGTTAGACAGAAAATCACACAAACATTATCTAGACAAACAATCACACAAACATGAGCTAGAAGACAATCACACAAACATGAACTAGACAGACAATCACACAAACATTATCTAGACAAACAATCACACAAACATGAGCTAGACAAACAATCACACAAACATGAACTAGACAGACAATCACACAAACATTATCTAGACAAACAATCACACCAACATGAGCTAGACAGAAAATCACACAAACATTATCTAGACAAACAATCACACAAACATGAGCTAGACAAACAATCACACAAACATGAGCTAGACAGAAAATCAAACAAACATTATCTAGACAAACAATCACACAAACATTATCTAGACAAAAAATCACACAAACATGAGCTAGACAAACAATCACACAAACATGAACTAGACAGACAATCACACAAACATTATCTAGACAAACAATCACACAAACATGAGCTAGACAGAAAATCACACAAACATTATCTAGACAAACAATCACACAAACATGAGCTAGACAGACAATCACACAAACATGAACTAGACAGACAATCACACAAACATGAACTAGACAGACAATCACACAAACATGAACTAGACAGACAAACACACATGCATGAACTAGACAGACATTCACAGATGCATGAACTAGACAGACATTCACAGATGCATGAACTAAGCGGAGAATCACACATTGATGAACCAGACAATAGCACAAACTGTACCCCTACCTGTCTGTGTCCTGTAGTCCATCCACACACATGTTCATAAATTTTTCAATGAGAAACCACTGATGGAAACCCACCGGATATGGGCCACAGCTGTAAGACAAATAACATTGGAAACACTCAGTCTTTCATTTACTAGCATTAGATATGTGAAATGAGGCTCTGAGTTGCATGTACTAGCATTGGATATGTGATATGAGGCTCTGAGTTTCATGTACTAGCATTAGATATGTGATATGAGGCTCTGAGTTTCATGTACTAGCATTGGATATGTGATATGAGGCTCTGAGTTTCATGTACTAGCATTGGATATGTGATATGAGGCTCTGAGTTGCATGTACTAGCATTGGATATGTGATATGAGGCTCTGAGTTTCACGTACCAGCATTGGATATGTGATATGAGGCTCTGAGTTTCACGTACCAGCATTGGATATGTGATATGAGGCTCTGAGTTGCATGTACTAGCATTAGATATGTGATATGAGGCTCTAAGTTGCATGTACTAGCATTAGATATGTGATATGAGGCTCTGAGTTGCATGTACTAGCATTAGATATGTGATATGAGGCTCTGAGTTGCATGTACCAGCATTAGATATGTGATATGAGGCTCTGAGTTGCATGTACCAGCATTAGATATGTGATATGAGGCTCTGAGTTGCATGTACCAGCATTAGATATGTGATATGAGGCTCTGAGTTGCATGTACTAGCATTAGATATGTGATATGAGGCTCTGAGTTGCATGTACCAGCATTAGATATGTGATATGAGGCTCTGAGTTGCATGTACCAGCATTAGATATGTGATATGAGGCTCTGAGTTGCATGTACCAGCATTAGATATGTGATATGAGGCTCTGAGTTGCATGTACTAGCATTAGATATGTGATATGAGGCTCTGAGTTGCATGTACCAGCATTAGATATGTGATATGAGGCTCTGAGTTGCATGTACTAGCATTAGATATGTGATATGAGGCTCTGAGTTGCATGTACTAGCATTAGTAAACGAGGATTCATATACTAACACTGGACACACTCTACATGAGGCAATGAGTTGCAGATACTAATAGGGAATGTTGGGAAGCGATATGAAGTTGGCCTATAGCTTTCTAATCAAGTGTCTAAGGGTAGCTGATTATGCCTCACTCATGTATGCAAGTTCCTCCCCAAGCCAACCTACTGGTGATTAATGGGGTTCCCTACCTGGAAGTACTAGGTTAACACAGTTCTCATAGTCATATCATACCACTAACTCCAACAACAGTCCGCAGCCAACCACATCAACAAAACGGGAAGGCATTTCTTCAATTCTGCATCAATTTATTTATTGGGACTACACAGTATGACAAAAAGCATGAACTGGTGATACAGGACGACTGTCCATCTAATGCTTCACCTATACACTAGAATATGCTTCCAAGGCGGTATCACATAAAAAGGGAACACCTAGCCTAGACTCGACCTGAGTCCACAACATACGCCTTTGGCCTACGGGCCCGCTCCTGGGGTCACTGGTGGCCTTTTCATAACTCATTAAAAGTATTGCCGACATCTCAAACTACTGACCTGTTTCACTAGTGATCCTACGCTTACTTGCGTCGTTACCCAGGACAGATTCTTTTCTTCCTTTGACCGCGCTCTCGACTGTCCTCTAGCAGTCTCAAGCGAGTGCTTCAACTAGTCAGCCTCCAATGCGATCAGAACCGATCCTCGCTGTTGGATCATAAAAATGTTGGGCCCTCCACGCCTTATCTCCACAAAATCCGCATAACAGGAGCATTTAATACTCATACACCAAATTCCAATGCACAAGATAAACTTTCACAGAATAAAATGATACACATAATTACTGCTAAAAATTCATAGAAATCTGAACATGCGTCAGTTTGAAGCAATGAGTTCACAAACTATACTGTTCAAAAACAGAAACGCATAGTTACTGAAAGGAACAAAAATCCTCACAATTTTGACATTCTGCATCTCTGTAATGCAGTAAGTGAATTTACTCAAATTTCACATAAGAATACCTTAGGATTCCGCCAATCAATTGACACATTTTTTTTGGACTCTGGGTCATGACAGTTTTTAAGCGTAGATCTTTCCCGTTAGTTTGGTGTATGTCCTCCTCCTGCGTGTAATCAGTGACTGGCATCTCCTGGGCATGCGATCAGATGTCTGATGTGGGCCTGTGGGATGGCTGCCCACTCTTCCTGGAGTGCCTGAAACAGATCACGACTATTGGCTGGAACAATGTTTCGGCGACAAACAGTTCTTTGCAGCTCATCCCACAGGTGCTCAATCTGACTTATGTCTACAGACGAGGATGGTCAGGGAAGGGTCTGAATGTTATTGGCAGCCAGGAACTGTGTGGTCTACTGTGCAGAATGGGGTCTGGCATTGTCGTGTTGAAAAAGATATATGCAGGCATCCCAAAATGGAAGGACATGTGGTCGAAGAATTTCATGGACGTATCATAGCGCATTCAAGCTACCTTCAATGTGCACCAATTGTAACTGATCATTCCCCATACCATTTTACCTCCACCACACTGCAGCAGAGCTTTATCAACACAATATTGGGTTAAACCTTCATTTTGTCCACGGTAGACCCTACGCCGTCTTTCATGACACTGCAACAAAAAGAAAGATTCGTCACTAAACCAGACATGTCTCCACTGATTGTCACTTGCCCAGGGACAATGTTGGTTGGCTCAAAGAAGTCGATTTTAGTGGTGGCGAACCCAAAGTCCAACATCATGCAGTTTGTACCGAACAGTTTGATCAGACACATGACATTCTGGAGGCAATGCCTGTGCAGTTGAGGAAGCTGTTGTAAATCTGTCTCTGAGGTGACGAAGCCGAATAAAGCGATTCTCCACTGCTGTTGTCACTCTGGGTCGTCCAATGTGATGTCAGTCTTTAACTGAACCAGTGGCTTGGAACCGGTGCCAAAGTTGATTGATGGTACTCTGATGTGTGTTTAGATGCCTGACAACCTGACTTTGACTTTCTCTTGCCTGCAATTGGCCAATTGCAACACTCCTTAAATTTATTGATAGAGGCGCCATTGGTGACTGCTTGAAAATGAACTGATTGTTTTTGTGTAACGTTATCCTTTTATTGTGTAGGCAGTGAATAGTGTTCACCGCAAATTGTGTTGCTTTCTTGTGCGCACATCATGAGCTTTGCTCACAAATATGGTCTTAAACACAGTAGACCACTGCGTTTTAACAATTATAAAAACCCACGCAATTCACTCCCACATGTCCACTGGACACTGTCAACAACATTTGAGTCTGCTTTAAACACATCCAAGCAAGGTATGTTATTTACAATTTAATTAAAACACGTGAGCGGATAACTATGCGTTTCTTTTTTTTTTTTTTAAACTGTATAATACTGGACACACTAAATTCATAAGGCACAAATAAAACATAAGAAGAGAGAAAGTGATTAAACACATGTGATGACAATTGCAAGTGTGAATGAGAAACAAAAGCAATCAACTGACTGACACAAATAATAAACAACAGAAGACAGAGAAATAGAACGAAAACAAAAAGACATATCCAACAAAGGGTGAATGAGTCAAGGATAAAATAGGGCTATGACTAACAAGGTAAACTTCAGCATCTGAAACAAGCAGTCACACAGCATGGCAGCAAGGTACCTGGTGTGGAACATTTCCTGGGAACAACACCATGCAGAAAATTCACTGAGAAACAGAAGATTGAATAGTTTGGTCATTTAGTAAGAATGCAGCCAGAACAACTACCAATGTAGGGCACTTCACATGAAAATATTTTAAGTGAAAGCAAGAGGCTGTTTTTGGAGAATACAGACTGATGACATTAAAAGGCTTCTACACTGACACAGAATGACAATAGCCAATGCTGCTCATCAAGCAATGGATCGCAAACTCTTCCTCCCGACAACATTTAATGGCAGAAGAGGAAATTGATGACGATGATGACTGTGAAAGAGAATACACTGATTAAAGCAGGTTGAATGGACTGGCATATACAAAAATTGAAAAAATTACAAGCCAAAAAAATCGTGTAGAAAATAAATGGCAAAAAAATGAATTAACAGTAAGTGAAACGTGAAGAAAGACCATAGACTAAATGAGGGTGCAGAGAGACAGACAGACAAGATACAAGTCAGGAGACAGACAGGCAGACAGACAGGCAGTAGAAGCCAAAACGACAGACATGGAACAAACCTATTGATAAAAGCTCTCCAAGGAAAGAGAACTGTGGCAGTCAAGTCTCGACTTTCCAGTGGCTGTGGTACAGTTAAGTGAGTGGACAAGAGTCCTGGTTTCTGGGCACTGCTGATGTAGGTCAGGGCATATCGGGCATTGCTGATGATGCTCTGTGGGAGGTTAGTCATTGACACATACAGCACAGGCAAAGATGTGAGGATCATGTGTAGAGGGACAACAAATTGTATAGGATATGCTGAAACACTCAATATGGCCCATATACAAAAAGGAAGGCATCAGCAAAATTAGGATTATTACAGAAACAAAACACATACAAACACATAATTCAGTTCACAGACATACATTTAAAATCATACACCCACCCATACACACACACACACATATATTTATACCCACATTATCCAATTCACAGATTTAAACATCCACAAACACACACACATACACATATGTACAACTGAATTTGTCAATTTCTGGTTGGAAATGTATGTTAGCATAATGTTTTGTAAAAACACAGCAGCACAGACTAAGGTTCTGCACGTGCACCCGTGCACACACACACACACACACATGCAAATACTCAGACACACAGACAAACACACACACAGAGACACACACATGCAGATACAGATACACACACACACAAACATACACACAGAGACACACAGATGCAGACACAGATACACACACACACACACAGATACACACACCCACACAAACACAGATACACTTCTGTTACACTGGCACAGTGAGAAAGAAACAGAGAAGAACATATAGAAGAAAAATACAGAGTGGGGAGATGGGGGGATGGGGGGGGGGGGGCCACACAGATACGTGCACTCACTCACTCACACACACAGCTGGTCATAGAAAGATACAAGAAGATTGACAGATGGTGGTAGAGAAGGACAAACAACTGTAGACACCAAACCTTGTAGGCTGCCAGATTGCCGGTGGAGAGACATGTATCCCTCATACAGTATCTGATGACCAGGTCAAACTGCAGAAACATGACCTCACGTCGCAGGGTCAGCAACTCCAGCACACTGTGGGGGTCGGAGGGGTCCGGCAAGTGTTGGATCTCTTTCTGTATCTCCCGCAGCTCCGAACCTGGGACAGACAATCACAGACAGACACTGACACGGAAATGTCTTTTACCATTCAGTCATTCATCATTCATGTATTCTCATTTGGTTATTCATCATTCAGTCCTTCTCATTTGGTTATTCATCATTCAGTCATTCATAAATCAGTCATTCATGATCCAGTCATTCTGCATTCAGTCATTCACCAGTCAGACATTCATGATCCAGTCATTTACCATCCAGTTGTTCACCATTCATTCGCTCATCATTCATTCATTCATCATTCAGGCATTCACCCTTCAGTCATTCACCATTCAGTTGTTCACCATTCAGTCATTCATCATGCATACATTCAGCATTCATCATTCAGTCATTCACCATTCAGTCATTCACCAATCAGTCATTCAGCATTCAGTCATTTATCATTCACATTAAAGGGAGCCATTGCGGTGTAGTAGCTAGATGTTTTACTTATGGCCTTAAGGTCTTGGGTTTAAATCACACTGTATATACTTTTTTCCCCCACAGATACTGTGGCACCCAGGGTCAACCTTGCCTAAAATAGCTCCAGGTGAAGTCCTGGGAAGTGAAGTGGGCCAGCACAATGTTGCCACAGCTCAACCACCATGTGCCAGTTGGCCTATCAAAAACAATGAGTCCAGCACCAAATGTCTGAGCGCGGCACTAAGATGAAAAAAGTCCTGGCTGACTGAACTTATTTAGGTTTGCTGCATACCATTTATTGGCACAACCAACCCCAGCAATTTTTGGCTGTATCTCTGGTTTTACTATGCAATTTTACATTCAGTAGTTTGCTGTTGCTCCCTGAACAGTTTGCTCTCGATAACCCCTGCTGAAATCAATGCTAGACAGCTGCAATCAAACTGGGTACCTCAGAATTGAAGAGCAGGTTCACAATAACTAAGTCACAGACACTGACCCTCATATAAGTTTTTAAAAAAAAGTAAAATAAAAAAGTATCAGACCATTTCCCACACCTTTAGGTGTATAGGGCATATAGGGTTAGACTTATATTTTACAGACCAATCAGCACAAGATAGGTAATTTGATCAGCCTCATGCCAGCCACCTTTACTTCCCGGGACTGCACCCGGTACCCACTCAAGGCTGGGTCAACCTGGAAGCCAAGGTAATTTTTGAAAAGAAAAAGTTCGGCTCAGCCAAGGAGCGAACCCACGACCTTCTGATCCACAAGGAAGCGCCTAGCCGCTCTGCAACGACGACTCCCATCATTCAAGTATCATTCAGTAATTCATTTATAATAATGTTTTTTGTTTTGTTTACCTGTATGCTGAGAGGCAGCGGTGTTGTTGACACCCTTTGTGTACAGACTGATGATAGTTGTCCTGATTCTTTTTCTCATTTCTTCTTCGTATTCACTGGCTGTAAACTCTCGCAGAAAGTTATGTTTGTTTATCTATTTCTGGACTTTAGACATGTTCCAGAACCTGAGTGTTGTATGCACAGCTGTTTAACAGATCCCACTTATTTGTATGCAGACTGTTGGTTCCCTGCCCCTCAGGAAGAGGTACTCCGACTTAGAAGGAAACCCCGGATCAGTCAACTCTTACAACTTGCTTGTTGGAGAGGAAGTGGGTCTATTCTGGTTTTCCCAACAATTATGCTCCAGGACCCACAAGAGGAGTCATGATTCCGATGACTTCCATCTTTGGACCTTGCAGATATACCATGGGGTCTAGTGGAACGTTTGGGACATTTAAATGCCTTCTATCCAGACGGATGGTCTAAGAAGAATGGCACTGCGAGGAGTTACAAGAGGATCTGGCCAACGCTCGACACTCAAGGAAAAGACGAGATGGATATACAATCAAACAATTACTGGTACCATCGGAATTGTAACTCTTTGCTTGCTGCTGAAGTTGGGGGCAGAGTGCTTATGGGGGTGTCTCGAGTGCTGTGATGTCAATTCTTAATTCAACATTCATTCAACATTTAAAATAAAATGAAGAATATTTTCTGCAACCTTTTTTGTCCACTGAGACGAGAAAAAGTTTCTTAAAATTTAAATTCTATCACAAAATACAGAAGTGAATCATGGACAGTTAGTAGAATAGTAAAAACAATTATGTGGAAGCTGCAGAGATGTGGTTTTGTAAGCGAATGATGAGAATACTCTGGACAGATGAAAAGAGTAATGTAGACGTCTTAAAAGAAACTGTCTCACGAAGAGAACTGATTGCTCACATCAGAAAGAGACAATCTACATTCTTTGGTCATGTCATGAGAAGGAGATAACTGGAGTACATCATGATAGTAGGAAAGTTGGAGGGTAGGAGAGGTAGAGGGAGACTGAGCGAAAAGATGCTGAGCAGTTTGATATCATGGCATGGAGGACCATCTGTATGAGAGGTAGTTGAAACGCAAGACAGAAGGTTGTGGACAGACATGACTACCAACGCCATACAGCATGGACTTTGAAAAAAAGAAGAAATTACTGTGAACATAGTATCCTGATGTTGTCTTCAAATCTTTATGGTTAATCTGGGTTCATCTGCGTAACGATTCACCATCACAGCATTCAGGACAAGCCTATATCAGCCCCATCTCCCTCCCTCAACAACCAGCCAAGAGTCTCCGTACTGACAGTACCCAGTGTAACTAAAACCTGACCAACCATCTCTGACACCTCACATACCCGTATCTTTGCACATATGTTTTATGGTAGAGACGAACATCCTCGGTTAAAAGTGGGTCGGAATATCAATTTATTGCCCTCAGTTTTATCTAATATGGTTCAGTCTCTCTCTACAGTGTGGCTGGTTGCCTGTTAGCAGCATCACACAAAGCACCAACTCTGAATCTCCAGCAGCATCACACAAAGCACAAACTCTTTATCTCCAGCAGCATCACACAAACAAACCCTCCTGAATTGTTTCTGAAACACAACTTAATATAATACCTGGCTTTATTGTCATGGGAACATAGCAGATCATCACTTACACAAACATGTCTGCCTTCCTTAGTCAGGTCTCCTCATGTAAATCACTTTATTCCCTTGCTGACTCACCTATCCTTTGTGCCCCTTGTAAACTTGTATTCCCTTGCTGACTCACCTATCCTTTGTGCCCCTTGTAAACGTTTATTCCCTTGCTGACTCAACTATCCTTTGTGCCCCTTGTAAATCTTTATTCCCTTGCTGACTCACCTATCCTTTCTGTGACTCCCCAGCTTGTGAACACAGTCTCCCTGGGGTGCGAACCCCTGTTGATCTGTGAGTTCTCCAGACCGGCGTAGACACTGAGGTAGTGGAGGATGTCGTGGAGTGCTGCCACGATGCGCAGGGAGTCGGCCAGTGCTTGGCTACACACACTATCATCTAGAGTCTTGTAGAGCACCAGCACTTCTGTGTGGTGAGGTATGAACCACAAGTTCAACACATGTTGGCCGTCACGTGATAGGAGTCGTCGCGGACGTTTCTTCACCAATCTAAACCACATTGAAGGAAACACAGACAAGTCATTCTTCACCAATCTAAACCACATTGAAGGAAACACAGACAAGTCATTCTTCACCAATCTAAACCACATTGAAGGAAACACAGACAAGTCATTCTTCACCAATCTAAACCACATTGAAGGAAACACAGACAAGTCATTCTTCACCAATCTAAACCACATTAAAGGAAACACAGACAAGTCATTCTTCACCAATCTAAACCACATTGAAGGAAACACAGACAAGTCATTCTTCACCAATCTAAACCACATTGAAGGAAACACAGACAAGTCATTCTTCACCAATCTAAACCACATTAAAGGAAACACAGACAAGTCATCATTCTTCACCAGCTGCACATGTAGGTTATGAGGCCCCACTGTGGGGAAAATTGGCTCTCCTACAAGCATGGTGTAAGAGTTAAACTAAACTGGAAGCATCCTTCGAAGTCATAGTGCATCAGCCTGAGAGTCAAGGAGTTAACAATCTGCATACAAATATTTCAGATCTGTAATGTGTATGCAACACTAAAGTTCTGGAACAAGACTAAAGTCCATGCCTGACATCCCTGTATTTGTTCTAACTGCATAAACTGTTCAGCTATCAAACTTTTGCACAATTTAGTAAGGTGTTCATTTACTTTGTAATCCTAATTGCATTAGGCACCACCAGTTCCCAGCAACAGGCCGTCCAAAAGTACCCAGAAAGTTAATAGACCACAGGAAAGATGTGGTTTGAGATGGACAACTTCAACACCTACAACATTTGTTTGAGATGGACAACTTCAACACCTACTACATTTGTTTGAGATGGACAACTTCAACACGTACTACATTTGTTTGAGATGGACAACTTCAACACCTACTACATTTATTTGAGATGGAAAACTTCACCACGTACTACATTTGTTTGAGATGGACAACTTTAACACCTACTACACTTGTTAAAAGATAGAATAAGCAGATGATTACTACGAGATAGAATGAGTTGATGACTGCAACTTGATAAAAGATAGAATAAGTTGCTTGCTTGGGTTGTTCTCTGAGTAATGGCCATCAGCATCTCATTCTGTATCTCTTTCTATCGATATAAAAACAAAACATCTCTATTTAGATAAAAGAGAGACAGAATGAGATGCTGATGGCCATTACTCAGAGAACAACCCAAGCAAGCAATAAAGTTTTACAACAATCTACATCTTCATAAGACTTTACCTGGGGTCTGTGGTCAGGGCATCCATGTCATCTTCATCTGACTTCTTCTCATTTGGTTCTCCCAGGACAAAGTAGGCATCCCTGAAATGTAAAATGTTATGTGTTTTTTTAATGTTCTCTTTATGCTACCAGTGTGAAATATGGACACTTAAGTAAACTAAATGAGCATAAAATCAAAACACCAGAGACAAGATGGTTTTAGAAGTGCTGCCAGAATAATAAGAAGAGATCAAATTAAAAATGAAAAAATTGGAAGAAAACTGGAACTGAAAGCAGTGATATAGTTTATTAAAGAGAAACAGATCAGCAGGTTTAGCCATCTGATGAGAATTCTCTGGTACCAACTGCCACAGAAAGCATCGTTAAATAAATCTAAAGCACACAGAGCAGGGGAAGACCATGCCGGATATGGAATGATAGCATCAAGAACAGTCTAAGAGAAATGAAGACCAACTTATACGACGCATTGGAAGGAGCACATGGAACATCCTTATACCCCTCACCCCCAACACTTAAAAGATCTGATGTTATTACAGCTGAAGTCACTGCACATTGGACATTCCCATATTTACACAGTCCACTGCTGCAGCAGTCAAGGTACCTCTTTGAACTGTTCCCTCAAGAAGTTCTCTACAATGTATCTACCATAACCTGGAAGACAGCACTGAGGAGCTTCACCAGACTTCCCTATAAGATGATACAACCATGCTAGCACCAGAGACTCCTTACAGACTGCCAGGCTAGTCCATTTAGAATTGATTGATGTCTGCTCTGTCCTTGCATCTTCCCACACACACTGGTGCAATACTTGTCTAACATAGACCAGGACTGGTGTCATGGAGCTCTGTCCAGCAACTGTACCTGGTGTTTTTAACTTTGTAAATACAACATCTGTATAATGAATTAGTTAGTGTTTGTGCTATATATGACTGAAGGATTTCTTGTCAGGAAAATCTTCCAGGTCAGCGTTTCAATGACAAATCTGTAATTTCCGTAAATTCAAACATATCCTACATAGCCTAAAGAGAATGTTGCTGCGAGGAGTGACCAGGGGGGAAAAATGTTGCTGCGAGGAGTGACCAGGGGGGAAAAATGTTGCTGCGAGGAGTGACCAGGGGGGAAAAATGTTGCTGCGAGGAGTGACCAGGGGGGAAAAATGTTGCTGCGAGGAGTGACCAGGGGGAGAAGAGTGCTGCGAGAAGTGACCAGGGGGAGAATGGTGCTGTGAGAAGTGACCAGGGGGAGAATGGTGCTGCAGGAAGTGACCAGGGGGAGAATGGTGCTGTAAGGAGTGACCAGGGGGAGAAGAGTGCTGCGAGGAGTGACCAGGAAGAGAATAGTGTTGTGAGGAGTGACCAGGGAGAGAAGAGTGCTGCGAGAAGTGACCAGGGGGAGAATGGTGCAGCAAGGAGTGACCAGGGGGAGAATGGTGTAGCAAGGAGTGACCAGGGGAAGAATGGTGCTGTGAGAAGTGACCAGGGAGAGAATGGTGCTGCGAGGAGTGACCAGGGGAGAATGTTGCTGTGAGGAGTGACCAGGGGAGAATGGTGCTGTGAGGAGTGACCAAGGGAGAACGCTGCAGTGAGGAGTGACCAGGGGAGAACGGTGCAGTGAGGAGTGACCAGGGGAGAATGGTGCTGTGAGGAGTGACCAGGGGAGAATGGTGCTGTGAGGAGTGACCAGGGGAGAACAGTGCAGTGAGGAGTGACCAGGGGAGAACGGTGCTTTGAGGAGTGACCAGGGAAGAATGGTGCTGTGAGGGGTGACCAGAGGAGAACGGTGCAGTGAGGAGTGACCAGGGAAGAATGGTGCTGTGAGGAGTGACCAGGAAAGAATGGTGCTGTGAGGAGTGACCAGGGAGAGAATGGTGCTGCGAGGAGTGACCAGGGGAAGAATGGTGCTGTGAGGAGTGACCAGGGGGAGAATGGTGCTGTGAGGAGTGACCGGAGGAGAATGGTGTTGCGAGAAGTGACCAGGGGGAGAATGGTGTTGCAAGGATTGATCAGGGGGGAAATGGTGTTGCGAGAAGTGACCAGGGGGGAGATTGATGCTGCGAGGAGTGACCAAGGGGAGAATGGTGCTGCAAGGAGTGACCAAGGGGAGAATGGTGCTGCAGGGAGTGATCAGGGGAGAATGGTGCTGCAAGGAGTGATCAGGGGAGAATGGTGCTGCAAGGAGTGACCAGGGGGAGAATGGTGCTGCAAGAAGTGATAAGGGGGAGAATGGTGTTGCAAGGAGTGATCAGGGGGAGAATGGTGCTGCAAGGAGTGACCAGGGGGAGAATGGTGTTGCAAGGAGTGACCAGGGGGAGAATGGTGTTGCAAGGAGTGACCAGGGAAGAATGGTGCTGCGAGGAGTGACCAGGGGAAGAATGATGTTGCGAGGAATGACCAGGGGGAGAATGGTGTTGCAAGGAGTGACCAGGGGGAGAATGGTGCTGCGACGAGTGACCAGGGGGAGAATGGTGTTGCGAGGAGTGACCAGGGGGAGAATGGTGTTGCGAGGAGTGATAAGGGGGAGAATGGTGCTGCAAGGAGTGATCAGGGGGAGAATGGTGCTGCAAGGAGTGACCAGGGGGAGAATGGTGCTGCAAGGAGTGATAAGGGAGAGCGAGAATGGTGTTCCGAGGAGTGACCAGGGGGAGAATGGTGTTGCAAGGAGTGACCAGGGCGAGAATGGTGCTGCAAGGAGTGAACAGGGGGAGAATGGTGTTGCGATGAGTGACCAGGGGAAGAATGGTGTTGCGAGGAGTGACCAGGGGGAGAATGGTGTTGCAAGGAGTGACCAGGGGGAGAATGGTGCTGCGACAAGTGACCAGGGGGAGAATGGTGTTCCGAGGAGTGACCAGGGGGAGAATGGTGTTGCGAGGAGTGATAAGGGGGAGAATGGTGTTGCAAGGAGTGACCAGGGGAGAATGGTGCTGCGAGGAGTGACCAGGGGAGAATGGTGTTGTGAGGAGTGACCAGGGGGAGAATGGTGTTGCAAGGAGTGACCAGGGGGAGAATGGTGTTGTGAGGAGTGACCAGGGGGAGAATGGTGTTGTGAGTAGTGACCAGGGGGAGAATGGTGTTGCAAGGAGTGACCAGGGGGAGAATGGTGTTGTGAGGAGTGACCAGGGGGAGAATGGTGTTGCAAGGAGTGACCAGGGGGAGAATGGTGTTGTGAGGAGTGACCAGGGGGAGAATGGTGCTGCGAGAAGTGACAAGGGGGAGAATGGTGCTGCAAGGAGTGACCAGGGGGAGAATGGTGCAGCGATGAGTGACCAGGGGAGAATGATGCTGCAAGAAGTGACCAGGGGGAGAATGGTGTTGTGAGGAGTGACCAGAGGGAGAACGGTGCAGCGAGGAGTGACCAGGGGAAGAATGGTGCTGCGAGGAGTGACCAGGGGGAGAATGGTGTTGTGAGAAGTGACCAGGGGGAGAATGGTGTTGTGAGAAGTGACCAGGGAGAGAATGGTGTTGTGAGAAGTGACCAGGGGGAGAATAGTGTTGTGAGAAGTGACCAGGGGGAGAATGGTGTTGTGAGGAGTGACCAGGGGGAGAATGGTTTTGTGAGAAGTGACCAGGGGGAGAATGGTGTTGCAAATAGTGACCAGGGAGAGAATGGTGCTGCGAGGTGTGACCAGGGGATCTGGGCAGCAATCAACACTCAAGGGAAAAGCGAGACAGATTTACATTTAGACAGTTACTGGTGCCATCAGAACTGGAACTTTGGACTTGCTGCTGAAGATTTTTACAAAGTGCTTGTGTAAATGTTGCGAGTGCTGTGATGCTGAACCTTAACTCAACTTCCAACACATTCTTGGTCATGACACTGCTGAGGTGGGAGACCTGTTTCCCTGTCTTTTAGCCTACTCTTACCAATTTCCACAAAACTGTGCAGCCCCCATTTTGATGACAATGGTACAGCTGATAACATCATCATCATGTAGCAGGTCCTTTGCAGAACGTCGCTCTCATCAGTCTGCCTGAAAGAAACTCAGTCTCTCGGCAGCTCTCCCGCCTCATGTACTTTCATACTCAAGGAGACACTTATATCCTGTGCCCATCTTTGTGTTGGTAGGCTCCTGCTCCTCCTTCCTGGTATCATGCCTTCTGCTATTATTTTTTCCAATCCGTCATGGCGCTAAATATTTCAAAAATTGTTCAGCTTCTGAGACAGGATGCTGTTTATTAGCCAATCTTCCTTGATGTTCAGATCCTTAAGATGTCAGTATTTCTCCTCTTCTTTGTCCAAGATATTCTGAGAATCTTTCTATAGCATTTCAGCTCAAAAGCACCTAGTCTCTTTTTTAAGGACTAGGAGATAGTCCACGACTCACATCCGTATGTTTTTTAAATCATTTGTTGATCTGAGTATTTTTGTGGGTAAAGTGGTATCCCTGATAAGCCACCTGTTTGTTCGGTGTGTCTAGGGGATCAGGCAGGCTCCAGACGGAGGTGAGAATTTACCTGACATTGGGGAACCTGGACAGAAGGTTGACCAGGCTGCTGTAGTAGCCCAGCAGTTGACCTCTGAGTGATACCTGCGACAGCCGGCCATGGAACTTCTCACAGAACTCGGAGATGAGCCTTCTCTTCACTTTCTCCATCTCCTCTGAGTTCTTGAGGGCTGTGGTCATCTGCTGCTTCTTGGCAACAAAGTCGTTCAACATTAAGTCTCGACTGGGACTCTAGACAGTAGAAGAAGAAATGTTCACCATCCTAACAGCATCATGTAACATTGGTTAGAACAAGCAGAAAATATGGATCAATTTTGGGATTCCAGATGGTAGTAAATGATTTCATTATAAATATATTTTCACCAGTAATGGATTTTTACTAGTAATGGATTTCATTAGTAATTGATTTTTATACTAGTAATGGATTTCTTTTACAAGTAATGGATTTCACCAGTAATGGATTTTACCAGCAATGGATTTAAACAGTAACATATTTCACCAGTAATGGATTTTACCAGTAATGGATTTAACCAGTAATAGATTTCACCAGCAATGGATTTAAACAGTAACATATTTCACCAGTAATGGATTTCATTAGTAACGGAGTGCATTACCAACGGAACATCTTTATAGTCCAGTCAGAAAATTTTATTTCTGCTCCAGTCACACATACAAACACACACACACAAACACACACACACATCTTCCCTACCATACAGATAAGACAAGGATAAGCTCACTCACACACACACACACACTCACATATGCACACACACACATATACTCTCTTCCAAACCACATAGATTCTCTCTCTCTCTCTCTCTCTCTCTCTCTCTCTCTCTCTCTCTCTCTCTCTCTCTCTCTCTCTCTCTCTCTCTCTCTGTACCATCTATTAACAGCCAAATGTGTGGACACCAGAACTACATGTACTATACATATTTTGTTATTGGTATAGTTTTGCCTCAGATGGAAACACAACAACACCACTGATGAAAATTAGGTTAAAAAATTACATTTTATATCAGTGCGCTGCAACCTGGACAGTGGGGGGGGGGGGGGGGGCGAAGAGGTTTAAAGAGGGTTTGTCAAGCAATTTTGAAATTAAGTTTATTTGTATTTGTAAAAATTTGTTATTATTATTTTTTCAGTTTGATTATAAATTTAAAAAAATACAATATTCTGTAGCAACTGTTTTAAAAAGAAACAACACCAAGGAAATTGTTTTTTTAAACAGTTTGTACACCTTCAGTTAAAACTCTAATTAATATGATTACACAGGCACTTATAGATTAGGAGCACATTTTGACCAAAATGTATCTCCCCACTTTCTGTTTCATTTGTTGTAAAATCTGTTGTCCTACTATTTTTAATAACTAACATTTTTTATGCAGGGTAAGGGGGGTGGGGGTGGTAGGGGAAGTTTTGCACTATTCTGATGAAGGAGGGGGGGGGGGGGTTTGAGGTCTTGACAAATACTCAAGGGGTCTTGCCATTTGCTCAAGAGGTCTTACCATATACTGAAGGGGTGTTACCATATACTCAAGAGGTCATACCATATACTCAAGGAGTCTTGCCACATACTCAAGAGGTCTTGCCATATACCTAAGGGGCCTTGACATATACTCAAGAGGTCATACCATATACTCAAGGAGTCTTGCCACATACTCAAGAGGTCTTGTCTATACCTAATGGGCCTTGACATATACTCAATAAGCCTTGCCATATACTCAGGGGGTCTTGCCATATACCTAAGGGGTCTTGCCATATACTCAAGTGGTCTTGCCATATACTCAAGAGGTCTTGCCATATACTCAAGTGGTCTTGCCATATACTCAAGTGGTCTTGCCATATACTCAAGTGGTCTTGCCATATACTCAAGTGGTCTTGCCATATGCTCAAGAGGTCTTGCCATACACTCAAGTGGTCTTGCCCTACACTCAAGTGGTCTTGCCATATACTCAAGTGGTCTTGCCCTACACTCAAGTGGTCTTGCCATATACTCAAGTGGTCTTGCCATATACTCAAGTGGTCTTGCCATATACTCAAGTGGTCTTGCCCTACACTCAAGTGGTCTTGCCATATACTCAAGTGGTCTTGCCATATACTCAAGTGGTCTTGCCCTACACTCAAGTGGTCTTGCCTTATACTCAAGTGGTCTTGCCATATACTCAAGTGGTCTTGCCATATACTCAAGTGGTCTTGCCATATACTCAAGAGGTCTTGCCATATACTCAAGAGGTCTTGCCATACACTCAAGAGGTCTTGCCATACACTCAAGTGGTCTTGCCCTACACTCAAGTGGTCTTGCCATATACTCAAGTGGTCTTGCCATATACTCAAGTGGTCTTGCCGTATACTCAAGTGGTCTTGCCATACACTCAAGGGGTCTTGCCATATACTCAAGAGGTCTTGCCATATACTCAAGTGGTCTTGCCATATACTCAAGGGGTCTTGCCATACACTCAAGGGGTCTTGCCATATACTCAAGAGGTCTTGCCATATACTCAAGTGGTCTTGCCATATACTCAAGGGGTCTTGTCATATACTCAAGTGATCTTACCATATACTCAAGAGGTCTTGCCATTTAATCAAGGGGCCTTGCCCTACATCCAAGGAGCCTTGCCCTACACTCAAGGGGTCTTGCCATATGGTAGAAACAGATCTAGCCCCCACTCCATCGCTTTTTTTCCTACAAGTGTGGTCATCATACCAATGCTGGAAAGAGTTTTCACACAGACTAACCTTCTCCAGCTGTAGAGAGAAGAAAGCTTCTGCTGTCTTTCTGAGCTTGTTGTTGTCTGCAGGAACTAGCTTCCCAGCTGCAGCTGTGCCTGTAGCTGTGCTGGACAGGCTGGTCATCTGTGTCATGGAGCTCTTCTCACTTCTGGTGTCAGTTGGGCTAACTCGTCCATCCCTAATGTCAAATAAAATATTTCATGTCAGACTTAAACATCCAGCATTGGCCAAGACTTAAACATCTATCACTGGCCCAGACTTTAACATCCAGCACTGGCCAAAACTTAAACATCTGGCACTGGCCCAGACTTTAACATCCAGCACTGGCCAAGACTTTAACATCCAGGACTGGCCGCCCAGACTTTAACATCCGGCACTGGCCCAGACTTAAACATTCAGTTGGGCTAACTCGTCCATCCCTAATGTCAAATAGAATATTTCATGTCAGACTTAAACATCCAGCATTGGCCAAGACTTAAACATCCATCACTGGCCCAGACTTTAACATCCAGCACTGGCCCAAACTTAAACATCTGGCACTAGCCCAGACTTTAACATCCAGCACTGGCCAAGACTTTAACATCCGGCACTGGCCCAGACTTTAACATTCAGAACTGGCCGGTCTTAAACATCCGGCACTAGCCCAGACTTAAACATCCAGTACTGGCCCGGGCTTAAACATCCGGCACTAGCCCAGACTTTAACATCCAGCACTGGCCCAAACTTAAACATCCGGCACTGGCCCAGACTTAAACATTCAGAACTGGCCCGGTCTTTAACATCCGGCACTAGCCCAGACTTAAACAACCGGCACTGGCCCGGGCTTAAACATCCGGCACTAGCCCAGACTTAAACATCCGGCACTAGCCCAGACTTAAACAACTGGCACTGGCCTGGGCATAAACATCCGGCACTAGCCTAGACTTAAACATCCGGCACTACCCCAGACTTAAACAACCGGCACTAGCCCAGGCATAAACATTCGGCACTAGCCTAGACTTAAACATCCGGCACTACCCCAGACTTAAACATCCGGCACTGGCTCGGGCTTAAACATCGGGCACTAGCCCAGACTTAAACATCCGGCACTGGCCCGGGCTTAATCATCGGGCACTAGCCCAGACTTAAACATCCGGCACTGGCCCAGGCTTAAACATCCAGCACTAGCCCAGACTTAAACAACCGGCACTGGCCTGGGCTTAAACATCTGGCACTGGCCCAGACTTAAACATCTGGCACTGGCCCAGGCTTAAACATCTGGCACTGGCCCGGGCTTAAACATCCGGCACTAGCCCAGACTTAAACAACTGGCACTGGCCCGGGCTTAAACATCCGGCACTGGCAAGAGTTTCCAACCTGTACGGCTCTGAGATGAATCCTGTGTACACTGAGATGAGCTTGACATGAGCTCATTTTCACAGTTTTCTAAGAATTTAAATGTTAAGTTAAGAAATGACATCATAGCACTCGGGACACACCCATTAGCTCTCTATCCCAATCTTCAGCAGCAAGTGAAGAGTTCCAATTCTGATGTTACCAGTAACCGATTGTATATCCGTCTCGCCCTTCCCTTGAGTGTTGAGCGTCAGTCTCAAAATTTAGAAGGAAGAGAACTGATCACCCCATGTCATTATGCCAAAACCTAGCATATGTGAAGTTTGAAAACTTCTTGCTGCAGTTGCAGGTTCATCCTAGAGACTAACTCAACCTTTGCTGGAAAGAGAGAGGGGGAGGGAAAATAACAGGAGAATGAATGTTGAGTGTTGAATTAAGAATCAACATCACAGCACTCAGGACACTCCCATAAGTGCTCCGTCCCCCATCTTCAGCAGCAAGCGAAGAGTTCCAATTCCAATGGCACCAGTAACTGTCTGACTGTGCTTCAGTCTCACCTTTCCCTTGAGTAACAGGAGAATGAAGGCAAGGTTTTGGGAAAGGGAGAGATGGAAACACAAGAAAGAGGAAAGGGCAGAAAAGACAAACATCAGCTGTTCGGAGAACTTCCAGCTCCTAGACTTCACATAAATCAGAGTGTAGACAGACCTAGCTGACAGACAGATGCAGGCAGAGTGTACACAGACCTAGCTGAAAGAGAGATGCAGGCAGAGTGTGGACAGATCTGGCTGACAGACAGACAGATACAGACAGTGGAAAGCAGAATAGTTGTAAACAGAATGGAAAAAGTATTTGTTTACAAGTCCTCTTCCGTATGCCCAAATATAGAGAGAAAATCAAGATATCATTAGAGCCTAATGCATAACACTTAATACAGACAGAATATTAGACAGACAGATATGACCCAAAGTGATAGCACAGAGAACAAATAATTAGACCAGCTTGAGCAGACGTGATCTTTACCTCTCAGTGACCTTGATTGGTTGGCACATGTTGACCTGCTGAACCGCAGCCATGAGAGCGTTCTTGTGAGTGACCTGAGCCTTCAGAACCACCTGGAAGCTCTCCATACCACCAGGGCGCATCACCTGTTGGCAGCATCAGATTTTATGTGTCAATATCAGACATTATATGTCAACATCAGACATTATATGTCAACATCAGACATTATTTGTCAACATCAGACATTAAATGTCAACATCAGACATTATTTATCAACATCAGACATTATTTGTCAACATCAGACAATATGTGTCAACAAATACTCTAGGTCACAAGTATTTTTTTGGAGGGTCAGGAAAGACAAAAGCATGACATGACAAATGAACTAAATGAACACATGTGTATCAAATATCTCTCTCATTGTATCACAGAAGTTGAGACACATCTAGAGATGGAGAAAAATACAGACAGACAGACCGACAGACCGACAGCCAAACAGACAGACAAAAAGGCAGGCAAACTTGTTTTCAACCCATTGTTGAGGAAGTTTGCCTGCATGCTGTTAATGAGCTCAAAGTTCTGGAGGACTGTGCTGCCTGAAGTAGAAGCTGCCACACCGGATGATCCTCCACAGTTTGTCCAATACCACCAACAAGTGTACAACTATGATGCCCACATTCTGTCTGACTACTGCATCTCTGATTCCAACAAATACTAACAAACATCACATTAACCCTACCAGACTGCTGGCTTGATTTTCCAGGAATTTATTAACCTAACGCTATACTGCTGGCCCTTATTTTCAGCTATTTGCGTAGAGTGTGAAAAAGATGCGTCACAAACTAAAAATAACTAGCCAATCGTAATCAGACCTCGTGGATAGTCTTCCTAGATGTTCGCGCTCATGTGTTTGAATAAAAAAAATTGTGAAAATTCACAATAAAACGAGCGGCTGATGAACCAAGCACTTTGACAGGAAAGTAAAGTAGGTTTAGGCTTTTCAGTGCAACAGGTGATCGATACTTTGCTTTATTCAGACTCTGCGGAGTCATAATTTCATGAAGAATACGTTCACAGTTGAAGTGACACATTCAGCTCCAATAATGAGGAGAATCTTGAAAATTATAAATCTAGAAATAGATCGGTAGTAAGAGAAGGGAGCGTGTCCCTCAAACAGCAACATCTGGTGCTCACTTTGTGAAACAATCTTGATCCTCCTGAGTGGATTGGCAAACAAAGGTGGAATACTGCCGCTAAAGATAAGCCTATTTTCTACAATGTCTTCAAGTTTCATCTTATTCTAGCCACTTGTTTGCATGCAACGAATATTTGCGTATATCATGTTGGTTTTTTTTTGCCGTAATGCCCAGGAGCTCAGGTATAGGGGACAGTTAGGTTCAGGGCCTCAGGTCTGGTAGGGTTAACCTCGACAAACAATGTATGGACTGGGCTAGTAACATAACCCTTGACCTATTAGGGTCGCAGAGGTGTATTAATTGAAGCACTAGCACTGCCATCTTTCTCTGTCTTCTGTTTGATGAATAAGTGTATTATAACTTAGTCTTGTCCATTTCTTGATTTTGTCATTCCAGATTCTTTTTTGCCCTCCTCTTCTTTGACTACCCCTTGAAGTACAGTCTTTGCAATTGGATCATGTCTCACAAGGTGCCCAAAGCAAGCTAGCTTGCAACGTTTCACCACTGCCAAGAGATGCTCGAGATGTCCAGAAAAGTTTTATATTTTGTCTCTGACATATTTATCAGTTTTGTGTTCTAAATAACCAATTCATAAAATGTGTCTGTAGCATCCTAAATCCTCCTTTCCATTTCCACAGAGAGAGTCCAACTCCACATCGTTATAAGAAAACAGACAATACCAGTGATATCAACAGACAAGTATTTCTGTGTTACATATCAACAGACAAGTGTTTTTGTGTTACATATCAATAGAAAAGTATTTCTTTGTTACATATCAACAGACAAGTGTTTATGTGGTACATATCAACAGTCAAGTATTTCTGTGGTACACATCAATAGACCAGTATTTCTGTGGTACACATCAATAGACAAGTATTTCTGTGTTACATATCAACAGACAAGTGTTTCTGTGGTATATATCAACAGACAAGTATTTCTGTGGTACATATCAACAGACAAATATTTCTGTGGTACATATCAACAGACAAGTAAATCTGTGTTACATATCAACAGAAAAATATTTATGTGGTACATATCAACAGACAAGTGTTTCTGTGGTACATATCAATAGACAAGTGTTTCTGTGGTACATATCAACAGACAAGTGTTTCTGTGGTACATATCAACAGACAAGTATTTCTGTGTTACATATCAATAGACAAGTGTTTCTGTGGTACATATCAACAGGCAAGTATTTCTGTGTTACATATCAACAGACAAGTGTTTCTGTGGTACATATCAACAGACAAGTGTTTCTGTGGTACATATCAACAGACAAGTGTTTCTGTGTTACATATCAATAGACAAGTATTTCTGTGTTACATATCAACAGACAAGTGTTTCTGTGGTACATATCAACAGACAAGTATTTATGTGTTACATATCAACAGACAAGTGTTTCTGTGGTACATATCAACAGACAAGGATTTCTGTGTTACATATCAACAGAGAAGTATTTCTGTGTTACATATCAACAGACAAGTATTTATGTGTTACATATCAACAGACAAGTATTTATGTGGTACATATCAACAGACAAGTGTTTCTGTGGTACACATCAAAAGACAAGTATTTCTGTGGTACACATCAAAAGACAAGTATTGCAATGGTACACATCGACAGACAAGCATTTCTGTTGTACACATCGAAAGACAAGTATTACAGTGGTACAGATCAAGAGACCTGTAAAATGCTGTCCCTGGTGCGAAAGGAAAATCTACCCAGATGTCCCTCATCCAACTCATGGATGGCCAGATACAGGCAGGATGGGGCATACCTGTTGGAAAACAAAACAACAGAAATCTGCCAGCTCATTGTCAAGACAGGTCATTCAGATCAAGCACACATGGACACAAGAAAATGTTAGCATTACATAATGTTCACAATTTGAGTACAAGGCTGGTATTATGAATACAATGTCAGCAACTTAAGTAAAAAAAGTACACACTGAAAAAAATTAAACATTTTGTTTGTATATTAAAGAAATTAGTTAATTAATGTTTTAAACTAAACATTTTTGTTTAGATTTTTGAACTTATGCCAAATGGCTACAGACAAAGAGAAAGCTGCTGACAAAGACATCTTTAAACAAGAGTGGACCTACTTATCAACTGCAGAATCATCTTCCTGTACAGAGGTCATGAATATAGGACCAGGTTTTCCCGCCTCAGACTTCAAGCTGGCAAACTCAAACTGGACAAACCTCAGATGGAGGTGGAATTCTGGGAAACCCAACTCTAGTGCCTGCTGCTTGTAGACCTGAAACCACAGAAACACAGAGATCAGTGTCAGAACTGTGTCACTACAAGATGTAGGAACTGTCTTAGTGTCATTACAAGATGTTAGAGCAGTGTCAATACAAGATGACAAAACTGACTCAGTGTCATTACAAGATGTCAGAATGTGGCATGCTGATACTGATCACAGGCATGAGAGAGTTATAGCCATTTTGATGTGTATAAGGAGTTACTCTCTTCCTCAGCTCAGGTGCCAGCCGGCTCTTGGATGGTTTTATGGATCCTTACGCAAGACTTCTGCCGCACGTCCAAGTCATGGTCGCAAATAGGCCCAAACTTCACAGCTCTGTTGTAAACAGGCACAATGCATTTACATCACTTCGACGAATGAAAAAAAAAACTGTCTAAGTGTCATTACAAGATGCCAGAATAGTGTCATTACAAGGTGTCAGAATAGTGTCATTACAAGGTGTCAGAATAGTGTCATTGCAAGATGTCAGAATAGTGTAATTACAAGATGTCAGAATAGTGTAATTACAAGATGTCAGAATAGTGTAATTACAAGATGTCAGAATAGTGTCATTACAAGGTGTCAGAATAGTGCCATTGCAAGATGTCAGAATAGTGTAATTACAAGATGTCAGAATAGTGTAATTACAAGATGTCAGAATAGTGTCATTACAAGGTGTCAGAATAGTGTCATTACAAGGTGTCAGAATAGTGTCATTACAAGATGCCAGAATAGTGTAATTACAAGATGTCAGAATAGTGTCATTACAAGATGTCAGAATAGTGTAATTACAAGATGTCAGAATAGTGTCATTACAAGGTGTCAGAATAGTGTCATTGCAAGATGTCAGAATAGTGTAATTACAAGATGTCAGAATAGTGTCATTACAAGGTGTCAGAATAGTGTCATTGCAAGATGTCAGAATAGTGTCATTACACAATGTCAGAATAGTGTCATTACAAGATGTCAGAATAGTGTCATTGCAAGATGTCAGAATAGTGTAATTACAAGATGTCAGAATAGTGTAATTACAAGGTGTCAGAATAGTGTCATTACAAGATGTCAGAATAGTGTCATTACACAATGTCAGAATAGTGTCATTACAAGATGTCAGAATAGTGTCATTACAAGATGCCAGAATACTGTCAGTACAAGATGTCAGAATAGTGTCATTACAAGATGTCAGAATAGTGTAATTACAAGATGTCAGAATAGTGTCATTACAAGATGTCAGAATAGTGTAATTACAAGATGTCAGAATAGTGTCATTACAAGGTGTCAGAATAGTGTCATTGCAAGATGTCAGAATAGTGTAATTACAAGATGTCAGAATAGTGTCATTACAAGGTGTCAGAATAGTGTCATTGCAAGATGTCAGAATAGTGTCATTACACAATGTCAGAATAGTGTCATTACAAGATGTCAGAATAGTGTCATTGCAAGATGTCAGAATAGTGTAATTACAAGATGTCAGAATAGTGTAATTACAAGGTGTCAGAATAGTGTCATTACAAGATGTCAGAATAGTGTCATTACACAATGTCAGAATAGTGTCATTACAAGATGTCAGAATAGTGTCATTACAAGATGCCAGAATACTGTCAGTACAAGATGTCAGAATAGTGTCATTACAAGATGTCAGAATAGTGTCATTACAAGATGTCAGAATAGTGTCATTACACAATGTCAGAATAGTGTCATTACAAGATATCAGAACTATTATCAGAACTATCTCAGTATCGTTACATAATGTCAAGTCTATCTAAGTGTATTACAAGATGACGGAACCATTTCAGTGTTATAACAAGATGTCAGAACTATATCAGTATCATTACATGATGTCGAGTCTATCTAAGTGTATTACAAGATGACGGAACCATTTCAGTGTTATAACAAGATGTCAGAACTATCTCAGTGTCATTAAATCATCACATAACCACCTCAGTGTCATTACAGACTATATAGTTTGTCTGTTGACTGTCATCTGTGTGGAAACAAATAGCAAGAGAGTTATGACTGGATGGAGAGAGAGAGAGAGAGAGAGAGAGAGAGAGAGAGAGAAAATGAGAGAGAGAGAGAGAGAAAGAGAGAGAGAGACACACACACACATATGAGAAGTCATTATAAATCTACAGATTACATTCATACACAGCTACTCACCTTAGAGAGAATCTCAGTTTCCCAGCATGCCTCAATCAACCGGTGTCGCAGTGTGATAATCTACATAAAGTAAGTTTGTACTGATAAACTAATAAAGTAACAGACAATGTATATTAAAAAAGTAACAGACAATGTATTTATTTATTTATGTACTGATAAAATAATAAAGTAATAGACAATGTATATTAATAAAGTAACAGACAATGTATATTAATAAATTAACAGACGATGTATTTATTTATGTACTGATAAACTAATAAAGTAATAGACAATGTATAATAATAAAGTAACAGACAATGTTTTTATTTATTTTTGAACTGATTAACTAATAAAGTAATAGACAATGTATATTAATAAAGTAACAGACAATGTATATTAATAAATTAACAGACGATGTATTTATTTTTTTATGTACTGATAAACTAACACTTCATAAATTTCAGAAATTATAAAGAGCAAAATCAACAACAAAACAAGGTTGACAAAAAGCTAAAAGTTGTAAAATTACTAAAATTATTTAGTTAACAAAAATCTTAGTTCAACCCTTTTACCCAGAGAACTGTAAACATTTTTTAAACCCATGACCTAGTTAGTATTTCTGAAGAATGAAAATCAAAAATTGTTATACATGTGACTAATAAATTTGTTTAAAATGTATTTATAGACATTTGACAATTATTTGTTTTTCAAAATAGTTAAAGATATATGAAAGGAATGATCAGTTAACGGGTACAGGGATAAGGATTAAATAAAATACATCCCTTGGGGCCTAAAGAACACATACATATTCAGTGACTCCTGACATGACACTGTGACCTTTAACATGGAGGTTTGAGATAATCTGACGTCATGTCACGTCGGCAAGTTGGAAAAGTGACAATTATGGGGAACTGGACCAAACCAGTTAAAACAAGGTATGGTGTGTGACTCAAACCAAGTTATCAGAGTGTTGTGTTATGTTATGTTATCACAGTCTGCCCACTGGACACTCCCATGTGTGCTCAGTCCTTCGATGCAGCAGCCACTCCAAGGTACCTTTACTGATTGTTTCTATGAGGAGTTGGTTATTGTGTCTCTTGTCTTTACCTTGAAGACAACTTAGATGTGCTTCCCCGTGCTCCTTGGTCATGCAGTCATGTTAGAGTCAGAGAATCACCATTATCTCACAACCTAGTCTGGACAGCGTTGATGATATCAGCTCTGTTCATGCTTCTTTCCATCTGCATTGGTGCATTCATACTTGCCAGCTGGTCAGCTCTTTCATTAACATGTACTCCTGCGTGCCCAGGTGTGTAAAGCCAGATATTGGAAGTTCACATAGGTAAACACACACACACACACAAATACACACACACAGCTTATCTAAGGTAAATACACACAAAACCATGCACATTCACATGCACACACACACGCACAGGCACGCGCACTTGCACAATACATATATTCACGTCCATATTCAATCTTCTTGACACATTTAATCACTTTTACATCAAATCTACTCAACACATATAATCAGGTACACATACAATCTGCTCACATTCATTAGCCTGCCGAATGTCTGCACCATGTTTATCTGCTTCTCTTTGTGCGATCGTCTGCCGGCAGCTTCCTCCTGTTGTTTGAGTGATGATGTTGCCAGCTGGCACAGAAGCACAGGGTCTTCGGCAAATGTGTCAGAAAACAACTGGCCGGGAGTAAATTAAAACAGTGTGGATTCATAGGTCAAATAGCTGGACAATAAAATGATACAAGTCTACATCACCATCATGTGCCATGCCGACAAGCCTAGGCAGTCAACACATGAACACCAGAGTTAGGGATCATGTCTGTGTTCTTGGCCCGATAATATAAAACTTATGCATGGTGTGACACTATGAGTTGCTGATTTCATTCGGAATGTTTTTGGTCTGTGGCTGGAGCTGCCTTTTGCCGCAGAATTGGTAGTCCCTTACGTTATTAAAATTAACTGCGTTTGCAGCTGCCGATGTGTGTGTAACTGCTGCATCCGTCGATGATGAACTGCATTTCTGATGTTGGACTGTTTGTATTAGCACTTCTCATGGCTGCCTTATGCTTAAAATGAATGTGCATGTTAGTGGATATACTAAAAACTGCATTCTGTGACAATTTGACCACAAGGGACAGTGATGAGCATTCTGTGTTTTTCATCTGCAGAGGAACGGAGCAACTTTGGGGTGACCCATCATCTATGAAACTTAAACTAAGATTACCAAGGTTACCAAGATCTTCAGGCTCAAAGAATCCTACAATCAAATCAACAGATTGCTCCATGATGATCACTAGATCTCAGCCAGTACCAGGACAGTATTTCCCCATGACTGCAGGTCATCTGTGTTCTCAAACGCTAGCATCCATCCAAGATTGTGCTAAGAAATGTTTTACGCCAGACTAACTTTTTGAATAAGGTGTTCATTTAATGATCAGGTAACAACATTGAACAGGGCATAATTCTTCCTCATAGTGTTCATAAGTGGTAAAATCTGACAGAAAGTTCTGGTTGTTCATCCACTTCTAGACATTAGACTTGTTCCAGAACTTGAGTTTTGTGTGCATATTTGTTTTACAGAACTGGCTTATCTGTATGCAGATTGGTGGTTCCTGGCCTCTTGGGCAGATACACTCCAACTCTGAAGAAAGCCCTCACCAATTATGACCAGCCTTTTGTGGGGGCACTGGGTCAGTGGGTCTATTATGGGTCCCTCCAACACAGAGTTCCAGGACCCACAGGAGACAGAGTAGACAATATGTTTTATGTGTGTCCAGAAAACATTAGATGAGACACTGCCAACACAACAGGACATAAACACATTCTTCAGGAGAATATCAGAAGTGCCTTTAACAGTCCAAGAATAAACTAGTGTCCTAAACAGTCCTAGAATAAACTAGTGTCTTCAACAGTCCTAGCATAAACTAGTGATCTAAACAGTCCTAGAATAAACTAGTGCTCTAAACAGTCCTAGAATAAACTAGTGCTCTAAACAGTCATAGAATAAACTAGTGCCTTATACAGTCATAGAATAAACTAGTGCCCTAAACATTTCTAGAAAAAACAAGTGCCCTAAAAAGTCGAAGAACAGTGCTCTAAACAGTTTGAGGATAAACTAGTGCTCCAAACAGCCCAAGAACAAACTTGTGCTACAAACAGTCTGAGAACAAACTAGTGCCATAAACAGTCCAAGATTAAACTAGTGCTCTAAACAGTTCAAGAACAAACTAGTGCTCTAAATGGTCCAAGAACAAACTAGTGCTCTAAGCAGTCTTAGAACAAACTAGTGCACTAAACAGTCCAAGAACAAACTAGTGCTATAAACAGTCCTAGAAAGAACTAGTGCTTTGAACAGTCCAAGAATAAAGTCCAAGAACAAACTAAACTGTCTGAGAAAAGAAACTAGTACCCTAATCAGTTCAAGAACAAACTAGTGCTCTAAACAGTCCAAGAACAAACTAGTGCTCTAAGCAGTCTAAGAACAAACTAGTGCTCTAAGCAGTCCAAGAACAAACTAGTGCTCTAAGCAGTCCAAGAACAAACTTGTGCTCTAAGCAGTCCAAGAACAAACTTGTGCTCTAAGCAGTCTAAGAAAAAACTAGTGCTCTAAGCAGTCTAAGAACAAACTAGTGCTTTAAGCAGTCTAATAACAAAGTAGTGCTCTAAGCAGTCTAAGAACAAACTAGTGCTCTAAGCAGTCTAAGAACAAACTAGTGCTCTAAGCAGTCTAAGAACAAACTAGTGCCCTAAACGAGTTGAGGATACACTAGTGCCAAGCTCACATCTCTCTGTACTTGAACTGAAAAACTGGAACCAATCACCGGCAGAGTTTCCCACTCTGTCAGCGCCACCTCCAGCAGTTTCTTCTCCATCATGACAGCCGCCCACAGTGTCCTCGGCTGATGGATCTCATACAGTTCCTGGGTGCAGGAAACATAAGCAGGTCAGATCTGAGAGGCTGTCTTCTAAACATGTTCACAGAAACACAACAGAACAAATGAACAAACAAAAAGTGTAAAGAACTGGGCACTCAGGCCCATCTACTCTTCTAATCTCTCTTCTTTCATATGCCGTTTCATTTATACATCAGAACTGGAACTCTTCGCCTGCAGCTGAAGATGGGGATGGAGCACTTATGGGGGTGCCCTGGGTGCTGTGATGTCAATTCTACATTCATTCATATATATGTTAACAGGCAACAGTAAACATTATTAACAGTAGCTAAATATTAAATACAGGTACTGGAATGTTAATGGCCAATAGTAAACATTATTAACAGTAACTAAATATTAATAGAGGCACTGGAGTGTTAACAGGCAATAGTAAACGTTATCAGCAGCAGATAAATATTGAACACAGGTACTGGAAAGTGCACATCAACTACTGTGGGCCATTTGGCCTATAAAATTATCAATGTGCCACAGCCACTTGTACTTTTCACTGGAATGTTCTAGAATTACACCTGCATTTCCAACCACAGTAAAAGTATAGTAATTTTAATAAATCTAAAGGAGATGTATGCCAGTTCTAGCAGTCCAGAAATGTTAAGACAGGCACTAGCATTCAAAAGTGACCCGTACTGACCCAGTAAGAGTGTCTGAGAGCTGCAGGGATCCTGCTGGCGGTGGCCAGCGTTGGGTGGAACTCCAGCATGTAGACATTCTTCAGGACAGGCCTGCAAGACACAGACATAATACGTTTATCATAGATTCATCATCACCCTACACATTTTTCCGACTTATGTAAACTCTGGTCTTGAAGAATACTTCTACAGTATCTGCAGTCTAGCTTGAGGTCTTCCAACCTGCAAGGTGAAGGATATAGTGCTGATCCACCCCTTTCTGTTAGTCTAAAACAGTGGCAACACATGGAGAGGCACTGCAGAATTGCAGCACACCCCCCAAACTCCTTTTTCTAATTCACTAACCTTACCTAATCCATCAACCTCAGCTAATCCACAACCTCATCTAGGCTAATCCACAACCTCACCTAGGCTAATCCCCAACCTCACCTAGGCTAATCCACAACCTCACCTAGGCTAATCCACAACCTCACCTAGGCTAATCCACAACCTCACATAAGCCACCAACCTCACCTAATCCACAACCTCACCTAAGCTAATCCACCAACCTTACCTAATCCATTAACCTCAGCTAATCCACAATCTCACATAATCCACTACCTCACATAGGCTAATCCACAACCTCACTAGGCTAATCCACAACCTCACCTGGGCTAATCCACAATCTCACATAATTCACCAACCTTACCTAATCCACAACCTCACCTTTATAGGATGACTCAGACTTAGGGCAAAAGGGAAATTATTATGTCATGACAATGTCATAATGACTAAAACAGCAAGACCCCCCACCCACCCCTCCCCCCTTCCCCCCCCCCCCCAAATGCTACTGTTATTAAATATAATTCCACCACAGTCCTTCTAAACAGTGAGCAGGCACAAACAGAACCAATAATGCTTTCAACTTGGCCTGTCAGGGACTGACCAATGCAGCAGTGCTTGTTTAGCAGCTTCCTGAGGATGAGTAATGCAAGGTGTTGCCAGATTATGTACTTCATGAAGCCAAAGAGGAGAAAAAGGCCCACTGAAATGTACATCGGGCTGTTCACTCATAGGCTGAGTCTACATATTTAGTTGCAACAGGCTATTATGATTATGATTATTATTATTATACATCCCTGTGTGGGTTCCAGGACCCCATTTTTGGGGGAAAAAGAACAAACCCACTGCCCATGTAGTAAAAGAAAACTAATTAAGGTTGCTTCCAGAGTTTGAGCCACTCATACCAAAAACTCCCAGAATCTGAGCCACTCATACCAAAAACTCCCTGAGTTTGAGCCAGTGATACCAAAAACTCCCAGAATCTGAGCCAGTGATACAAAAAACTCCCAGAATCTGAGCCAGTGATACCAAAAACTCCCAGAATCTGAGCCAGAGTTACCAAAAACTCCCAGAATCTGAGCCAGCGATACAAACAAACAAAACTCCCAGAATCTGTGCCAGCAATACCAAAAAATTCCCAGAAATGGTGCCTGTGATACCAAAATCTCCCAGAGTCTGGGCCAGCAATACAAAAAAAAACAAAAAAAAGAATCTGAGCCAGCATTATCAAAAACTCCCAGAATCTGAGCCAGCGATATACACACCAAAAAATTCACAGAATCTGAGCCAGCCATACCAAAAGCTCCCAGAATCTGAGCCAGCTCGTGAAAAAAAAAAAAAAGTTTTGTTAGAATGCACAGTAACCTGCTGAGGTTGACAGCGATTGGTTGTTTGGGGATGATTCTGTGAGGCAGTCCCAGCTCCGTGTCTGGATCCCGAGTGACTCGATGGATGTACTCCCGCTGGCTGTCCATGTGCCTGTCCAGCAGTGACTTAACAAGGGCCACGTGCTTGTGAAGGACTGCGCACTCTGCTCGGTACAGCTGGACAAAGTAGTCAGAGTGCGGGTCCAAACGTGGTCGCTGGTGCATGATGTTGGTGATGACCTGGGCAAGTCGGCGCCGTTCGTCTCGGTCGACCACATGCTGGTAGGCTTCAAAGTAACAGTCAAGCAGCTGAGGAGGGAGACAGGAACAAACAAGTTCATGAGGGAAGGGAGACAGAATAACATGAGGAAGGAGACAGGAACAAACAAGCTCATGAGGGAAGAGAGACAGAATAACATGAGGAGGGAGAGAGGAACAAACAAGTTCATGAGGGAAGAGAGACAGAATAACATGAGGAGGGAGAGAGGAACAAACAAGTTTTTGAGGGAAGGGAGACAGAATAACATGAGGAGATAGAGAGGAACAAACAAGTTCTTGAGGGAAGGGAGACAGAATAACATGAGGAGGGAGAGAGGAACAAACAAGTTCATGAGGGAAGGGAGACAGAATAACATGAGGAGGAAGAGGGGAATAAACAAGTTCACGAGGGAAGGGAGATGGAATAACATGAGGAGGGAGAGAGGAACAAACAAGTTCATGAGGGAAGGGAGACAGAATAACATAAGGAGGGAGAGAGGAACAAACAAGTTTATGAGGGAAGGGAGACAGAATAACATGAGGAGGGAGAGGGGAACAAACAAGTTCACGAGGGAAGGAAGATAGAATAACATGAGGAGGGAAAGAGGAACAAACAAGTTCATAAGGGAAGGGAGACAGAATAACATAAGGAGGGAAAGAGGAACAAACAAGTTTATGAGGGAAGGGAGAAAGAATAACATGAGGAGGAGGAGGAAATACTGATATAACAGCTAGGTTATCTACATCTATGTTTTTTAACTTATGGGCCCACGGTCATGGGCTTCTAGAGCTTAACTAATGACCTGTATTTGTCTGCTTGTGGCCTAGACAGGTGAGATTAAAAAAATTATGTGGGTCCCCTACTGATCTAGACAGGTGAGATAGAAGATTGTGTGGGTCCACTACTGACCAGGTCAGGTGAGATGAACGACTGTGTGTCCCCTATGATCTAGACAGGTGAGACAGATGATTGTGTGGGTCTGCTACTGATCTAGACAGGTGAAATGGAAGATTGTGATGTCTGCTTGTGACCCATGTCTGTCTGCTTGTGACCTGGACAGCTAAGAAGAAAGATTGTGTCTTTCTGCTAGGGACCTTGACAGGTAACATGGAAGATTGTGTCTGTCTGCCAGTGACCATGACAGGAGGCACAGTCAGTGACACCCAGATGATGTCATGTGCTCTCACCTCTCTCTTAGACTCCAGGAAGGCTGCCTCATGAGTCCACACATCCAGTAGCACATCAAACCGATCCACTTCCTCATGGGCATAGGTGGCCATGTTGAGATCTCCAGCTTGGTTCTACAAGATGGATAAGTGAGTGGTCACTGATGGTCAGTGGTGGTCACTGGTCAGACTCACACTACAGCTGTGTTATCAATTTACACATGGTTCGAATCATCATCTATTCCATACACTGTTCAAATATTGTCTACTCTAGACACATGCATACACTCACTAATGCATGCACACACCTACACTTACACATGCATACACTCACTAATGCATGCACACACCTACACAGACTCATGCATACACTCACTTATGCATACACTCACTCATGTATACACTCACTCATGCATACACTCACTCATGCATACACTCACTCATGCATACACTCACTCATGCATACACTCACTCATGCATACACTCACTCATGCATACACTCACTCATGCATGCACACACCTACTCTTACACATGCATGCACTCAAGCATGCATAGACTCACTCATGCATACACTCACTCATGCATACACTCACTCATGCATACACTTACTTATGCATGCACACACATACACATGCATACATATGCATGCACACACCTCAGTTCAAACATTTCAAGTGACAGTTTTAAAGATTTTCCTAAGTGAAAGGAGACTCATCTTGATCTTGACTTATTAAGCATTTCAGTCTATACCACAGCATAATTCTTCTATCAGAATGGCCTCCCCCTTCTTGGCTGGCTGAGTGTTACCTGTTCCTCTTTTAGACTTATCCACGGCAGGCTGGTTTACTTGGTGATTGTCTCTTATAGTATGAGGGAGCCAACCCCAAGCCCAAACCACCCTTAGTTGCCTCTTACAACATGAGGGGTAGGGTGCAGTGTTGCTATTCTTTGCATCCTATGAGGGCCCTGGTAACATTCTGTGGTTTATAAATTACTGTACTTTCCCAAGTATAAGATAGACTTATTGTCCAAACACAAAAGGTGTAAAAAAAGTTTGCGTCTCATATAACTGTATTAGATTCTTCTTCTTCTGCTTTTGTCGTCTCACTAATACCAGGTTGTAGCCCTGTGTCGTGGTTTTGTCGTCTCACTGATACCAGGTTGTAGCCCAGTGTCGTGGTTTTGTCGTCTCACTGATACCAGGTTGTAGCCCAGTTTCTTGGTTTTGTCATCTCACTGATACCAGGTTGTAGCCCAGTGTCATGGTTTTGTCGTCTCACTGATACCAGATTGTAGCCCAGTGTCGTGGTTTTGTCATCTCACTGATACCAGGTTGTAGCTCAGTGTCGTGGTTTTGTCGTCTCACTGATACCAGGTTGTAGCCCAGTGTCATGGTTTTGTCATCTCACTGATATCAGGTTGTAGCCCAGTGTCGTGGTTTTGTCGTCTCACTGATACCAGGTTGTAGCTCAGTGTCTCTTCACTGATAACATTCTGGCAGGTTTCAGCTACCAATTTATCCATCTCTCTCTTGGTCTTTCTCTTGTCTTCCTCCCAAATATTCTGCTGTAAAAAGTCTCATATGTAGTTTGGTCTGGCTGCATTCTCACTATATGGCTGAACCATTTCATTCTTTGTCTGTCAATATAATCCAGACATGGTCTTAATTCAACTTTTTCTCTAATGCTGGTATTTTTAACTTTGTCCCTTTTTGTGTTGTTAGTGACCTTGTGGAGACAGCACATTTCGCACGTAGTTATTGTCTGTTCTAGTGCCCTTTTCATTGTCAATATTTGGAACGAATAACATAAAGTAGGGATAAAGATGCTATTAATCATTTGCTATATTGCAGGAAGGGAGACAGTTGTGTGTCTAATACTTCCTGTAATCATATTACTCTTTTCTCCAAATTTCCGATTCCCAAAATTAAGGAGCATCTTATACATAGGATCACCCTACATTTGGGTAAGTATGGTACTTATTATTAAGCCCGCACATTCTACATTCAAATTCTGAACAAGATATGATTTGATATTTTGACCTAAGACACACACAGAACATATACTGGCAAATACATCAGGCTTTGTTAAAATAAATAAATACACTGCTACATCTCTATCCTCTTCATCCCACTGTGGACACATAGGGCACTCAAGTGATTTCCACTGCTGCCGGTCTGTTTCTCTTTTGACTATGGTATCCCATGTAATTTTACAACCCACATTCTCTTTCTAATGTCCTTCAACGGGTTTTCTTAGGTTGTTCACGGTTCTTTTTTCCACGTGCCGTCCATCGGAGCGCTGTTCTTGCCAAGTATCATTGGGTCCTCTGAAAAACATGCCCAAGTCACCTTCATTTTCTTCCTTCTGTAAAATTTGCCAGTGACGGACATTTTGTTTAATATACACTCAGGAAAGCTAATCCTTTTCTTTATTTTTGTCAATATTTGCTTACACCCCTTGGTGTTACAGTTTATCATATGATTGGCAGGCAAGCTAGGGCAGGCCCAGTAGCTTGATAAGCTGTGATGTTATGCAGTCTCAAAGCGTCAGTGACTCCTTCAATCCATCTTCTTTTCGGTCTTCCCCTGCCTTTTGATGTTTCGATTTTCAGATTGCACACTTGCGCTGCTGGCATCGTTGGTTTCATTCTCATTAGATGAAAAAACCATTTCATTCTATGTTTTTCAATAAACATGATGGGTGTTGTTCCAACAGTTTTTTTGATCACTTTGTTCCTCACTCAATCTCTTCTGGTTTTATTCACAGCCATTCTCAAACATCTCATCTTACAGGTGGTTAGTTTTCTTTTGTGTTCTCTTGTCAATGTCCAAGCTGACCCTGCTCACTAAATTATAACTTGCCATGACACTTTAGTCTCCCTTTAGAGACAACCTACCAATGGATGTCTTCGAGATCCAGCAGGATCACCTGATGCTCCAGATGTACCATCGTGGTAATTCTGAATGTAATGACTGCAAACAAGAAGCAGGTCAGCTTCTAGTGACCTGTTCAGAAGAGACCCAAACTGAGTTAATTTATGGCTGACCAGATGGTTAACTCATTTCTCTCTGTTCTTTATATACAAGATGATGTTGATTCTGTGAGAGGATGTGGATTCTGTGAGAGGATGTGGATTCTGTGAGAGGATGTGGTTTCTGTGAGAGGATGTGGATTCTGTGAGAGGATGTGGATTCTGTGAGAGGATGTGGTTTCTGTGAGAGGATGTGGATTCTGTGAGAGGACTGGTCACAGAAGAAGAAAACTGGTTCCAGAAAACTCTACAGAGCAGAACAAGCTTGGGTATCTCAACTGTCATGGTGGTTTAGACAGGACAGTAATACAGACAGCCAAAGAATGCATCCATTCAATTCTAAAGAATTGTCATCTGCAGACTCACTGTCCGGGTTCTTGGAACACAATTGTTCTAATTGAAAGAAAAGCTATAAAATTGATTTTTTTTTTAAATAAAAAAATAAACGAAAATTAAAAAAAAATTATTCTTATTGTTCTTCTCTTCCACCTTGTAACTCAGTGAATTGTTGGTGGTGGTGGTGGTGGTGGGGGGGGGGGGGGGGGGGGGGGGGGGGGGGGGGGGGGGGGGGGGTGAATGTAACCTTTGTTGACAAGTTTTGTCAAGAGCACTATTAAGACTAATGTTTATTTCTGTAAAGCTGTTCTTAATGCCATCACTGCATCAGTTCCAAGGTCTTTTGCTCACTATATACCCGCTGTAACGTTTCAGTGTGGCTATATGTGAGGCATTCTTGTTAGGTGTCCAAACCACTTCATTTGATGTTCCTTGTTGACCTGTAAGACTGGCATTATTCCAAGCATTCATCTGATTTCGTATTCTGTCTTTCCTTTAAACTCTTGCAGCTCATCTAAGGCATTTCATCGCTGTTGTCACAACTCTTTGTTCATTAGAAGATGTAAGTGTCCACATTTGACACTGATAACATAGTGTTAGCCAAAAAATAGTTCTGATAGGTTCACTTTAGTACTCTGGGGTATCTGCTTGTGTCAACAGGGGAGATAGTTGCCCCATTACTTGATTTGCTTTGGCACATCTGCAGCTAATTTCTCTTTCCATTTTTCCATGGGATGCGAAAATTGCTCCCAAATTCCTCTGTCTTAGGATGCTGTTTTTAATTTTATTTTTTAACTGTCTTTCCGTCTTTCAATCACAATTGTCTCTGTCTTCACAGTGTTTATTCTCATATTATATTCCTCCCCTTTGTTACTGATTTGATTTATGTGGTTCTGTAGGCATTCCATACTTTCTGTAATATCTTCTTCATGATTAAAGCTCCTTTCCTTACATATACTATCCATGTATGTTATAAACAGAAGTGGCTTTATTACACAGCCCTCACGCATACCAAAGTTCACTATAAAAGTTCTTGATAATCCTGCCTTCGATCTTATACAGTATTTACTATGTGTGTACGGGCTTTTGTAAATATTAATGAGATGATTGCTGATTCCCTTTTTCCCCTTACATTCCCACAACATATTCCTGTCGACTCTTATCGAAGGCTTTCTCCTGGTCTATGACTGTCAACAAACATGTCTTATTATGTTCTATTGCCCTCTCTGATAGTTGTCTTAATGTATAAATGGCATCTGTACAACTTCTATTGCGTCAAAATCCCATCTGTGTTTCTGAAAGTTGATACTCTATCATTGGTCTTAGCTTTCTTTCAATGATATTAGCATACATTTTCCCAGTGTGACTGAGAAGTGATTTTCTTCTGTAATTAGTACAGTCCGTCTTACTTCATTTATTGTTTCATAGAGGGACGATGACAGCAGTTAGCCAATTTGATGCTGTTTCTTGATTTTCCTATGCCACCTGGAATATTCTCTTCAACCATGTTGCTCCTGCTGCTCCTGCTGCCTTGATGGCCTCAGGAGGTAGATTAAAAATTATTACATATCCTTTACAGGAGGTTGCAGAACCAACCCCAGTATTTGTTGACTCTTTGGTTGTATAAGACAATTTTACATTCAGTAGTTTGTCATTGCTTCCTGAATGGCTGGCTCTCAAGACCTTTGTCAAAATCAATGGAAGGCGGTCTGTTAACAAATCCACTGCACCTGGTATCGACCCAGACATCTACAAACTATGAAGTGCACTTGCGACGCCTGAGCCACAGATGCTGACAAGCATGTTGTAAAAGGTGACTAATTAGGAATATTTCCTTCGAAGTTAAAACATATCTGCTTGAAAAAAAAAGGTAAAAAGGTAAAGTCGGGAGATGTGAACCAGCGTCACTGCACATGGTTATAAACCATAAGTGCTCTGCCACCAGTATGGACAGCTGATAAGAATTGTCCGCCTGTGTCGCCATTCACACGTAACTCTGTAGCTACAGCGATGTTCCTTCATTTATCCCAGAGTGTTAACTCTGGTACCCATTTCCTAGAGGCTGGGTGAACCCCAGGAACCGCCCGGTTTTGAGCATCGACCGTGGGCTGCAGCGAGTCACAGCTGGATTTGAAAGCGAGCTCTTAATGACTGTGCTAAGCTTGAGAGGCAAGAAACCAACATTCTGTATATAAATAAGCCAGACAGGTAAAGTGGATGTGCACACAGCTCTCAAGTTCTGGAACAAGACTAAAGTCTAGAAGTGGACAAATAAAACAGAAGTTTCCACTGGAGTTTACAGCCACTGAAAAAGAAGAAATCATTTGAAAAGATTTACCCAAGATCCTCCAAAGCCTTGTCGTAGATGATCTGGTAGCCCTTCTGGTCGATGACATGGACATGATTGTCTTCAATCACATAGAAATCATCATGATTGTTGATCTCGGAGAACTGGATGAAATCTGACTCGCTTATCCTGAAATGATCAAAATAATAAGCTTTTATTTCTGCAGAATATTCTTTCTTCTACTTGCGTTTTGTTTCTATCACACATTCATGTGGTGCATCTCTTCTATTCTATTCTAGAGTGTAGACTAACCATAGAATGATTCTTTGCCTGTCCTCTGCAGCAGCCACCACCAGGTACTCCTACTGATGGTGCCTCTACAAATTTGTTTACACTGTCTCCTATCTTGGCCTTGAAAATGCACAGACATACGTTATCAGGTTTCCCTCCCAGGTCATATAATCATGTTAGCGTCAGAGATCCACCAACCTAGTCCGTACAGCATTGATGACTGTAGCTCTGTCCATGCTTCTTCCCCTATGCAATAGTGCATTAACTGCCAATTAGTCAGCTTGTTCTTTACCTTTTACTCCAGCATACCCAGGTGTGTAGATCCAGGTGAGAGAAGTCAAGTGCAACTTCCAAATGCTGCCCACCCATTCAGAGCCAAAGCCACTTGCTGTGATTTTCTGAAGCATGTTCATGGAGTCTGATATGATTACTGCGTGTATATCTGCTTGTTCTGCTGCTCGTGCGTATGCTCTGGAAGCAGCAGTTATCTCCATGAGCACGCTTGACATAGCTGCCTGGTATGCGCCGCTGTCCCCCTACATTATTCTTCGCATCCTTTGTGCTGTATATACTGGTAATCTGGTAATCTGGTAATTTTAATTTCAGCTTCATAGCAAACGGGTCACCCCATCTTTGCTCCACTCCTGTGCCAACGAAAAACACACAGAATGTTTATCACAGCCCCTTGTGGAAAGACTGACAAACTGCTCTCTAAGCAAATCTAGCATACACTCGCATTACAAGCATATGGTAGCCATCCAAAGTGCTAACACAAACAGTCCGATGTTAGAAATGCAGTTCATCACTGATGGTAGCAGAAGTCATTAAACGATCAGCAGTTGCACACGCGATCAATTTTAATCAAATAATGGCCCCACCAATATTGCTACAACCGGCATTGCACCATTTTCTGAATGTGTATACTGATGCTGACCTTGACCCATGTTTCACGGATCTATCTGTGTAGATGATGTTGTCTTCTGGGTGTGAATGTCAGTCTTGATGTGAATGCTCATCTATCAGTGCCAATTATCTCAGTGTCTTTTGTGGTGGGAATCTAGTTCATGCAGCACCTCCTAAAAGTTAAGCTATAAATATATATACACAATTTTGGTCAAATTTCTCTGGAATTCCTTTTTTTCTAGAACAAGCATGTTTTACTGGTGGAAATATTTTCTGTAGTGGTAGTTTCTCCACATCTGGACTTAGACACTGCAAGTCTTCTGCTGACATGGGAACACAATGGATTAGCCGAACCACTTATCACTTGTTGAAATAACCAGAACTGACCAAAGCAATGGCCCTTCCTCTCTGAACTTGAGTAAGTAAAAAAAGTAAAGATCCCTTTACACGCCTTTAGGCGCATCAGGCATATGGGAAGATCACCCATATTTTTACAGACCAATCGGCAATCAGTGGGTAATGTGGTCAGCATTACGCCGGCCGTCTTTACTTTCCCAGGACAGCCCATCCTGGTACCCATTTGCAAAGCAATGGCCCTTCCTCTCTGAACTTGAGTACTAGTCATCTATTTAAGTGTGAAATTTACTTACTCACAACACGATAAATGTTTGCAAAACTGACCAAAGCAATGGCCCTTCCTCTCTGAACTTGAGTACTAGTCGTCTATTCATGTGTGAAATTTACTTACTTATACAGCACGATAAATGTTTGCATTCTTACTTAAAATCTGCTGGATTATTGTGTAGGTATCCATGGTAACTGAGTCCACCACCTCCTCCAGTGCTGCCATCTATTCCTGTTCCTGTGCAATGATTCTGGAAACTGAAGGAAATAATATCAAATTCTCTGTTTTAAATTTGAATAAAGAAGTCATAAACAACAGATTGTACAATTCATGAACTGGTATATTTTCTTGTTCTTATCAAGTGCATGCTGGCTATGCATAACTTGGTGGAATGTTGATGCGTGATAAGGCAGACCTGGTTAGTGCCTTGTGGGAGATCGTGTACAATTCAGAGGAGCAAATGGATCACCACAGTCTGGTGATACTGATGCTGTGAAGAGTGATGAGAGGTTCTGGTCAATGCTCAATGCTCAGAGAAAATGCAAGACGAACGTTTAATCAGAATGCATCATTAGTGTTGGAACTCTGAGCTGGCTGCTGAAGATGGGGACAGAGTGGTTATGGGAATACCCCCAAGTGCTGTGATGTTGGTTCTTGAATCAAATCAAGTGCATGCTAGAGTAACAATGCAATAAAATGAAACAAATAGATGAATCCTTCATAACTGAATCACAAAATCAACCATTTTCAAAAGTAACTGCTTGATTTATCAGGACAAGAGCAGGTTCACTTTCATGTTTTTGTTTTCACTCTAGACAAATCAGAGTGGAAGTGATTATTGTGGCAGCCTCAGTATGAATATAGATTGCACATTGTACAGAACCAATTAGGTCAGTTGAGTATCCTTTGCAGGACAAGCAGAACTAACCCCAACAGCCCCTGGCTGTTGTGTGGTTTTTCTAGGCAAATTTACATCCAGTAGTTTGCCATTGCTTTCTGGATGGTCGGCCTTCTTGATACCACTGTCGAAACCAATGCAAGACGCATGGCCCGGTACTACGAAGCGTTCGCATCAACTTAGCCACAGAGTCGACACAGAACCAGTACTGAACTTTTTAGGTAGACAACAAATCAAATGGTCTGGCCATGTAACAAGTTTGGCAGCAGCCAGGGCACCACAGAGAGCAATGCTAAACAGATACAATGGGTATGACGAACTACACATAAGAGTAGGTAAAGATCAATCAGCCATGAGTATGGGGAACTACACATTAGTGTAAATAAACAGAGGGGGAAACCATTTGAGGCCGTTAAATATTATGAATTAATCAAGTAACAGAAAGTATTGTGAACGGCACTCATAGAAAGAAGTAGAAAGATAGAAGAACACACTAGACAACATAAAAATCGAAAGCTATAGTTACCGTGCCGGGAATTGAACCTGTCACCTCCAGACGGCGTCTGCGCCTCGCCATGAATACAAGTGCACTAAGATACATGGTCAACTAGGCACCCCCAAAAAAAGGTGTCTCATTGGCCATGTCTATCGTACAGCTTGAAATCCACGACTATGGAATACAGACAGAATTCATTTCCACCCATTGAAATGGCACCATAGGTTACAGAAATTTATATTAACGAAGCAAATGTCGAATAACAATCACAGCAACAATTTACGAACACAGTAAGACCTTATTGCTTTGTCTAGAATACACAAACATTTAAGAAAGGTATTTGTTGGTAGGTTCTGGTGTGTATACGTCATTCCTATAAATAAACAGAGGGGGAAACCATTGTGAAGATCAATCAGCCATGAGTATGGGGAACTACACATTAGTGTAGGTGAAGATCGATCAGCCATGAGTATGGGGAACTACACATTAGAGTAGTTGAAGATCAATCAGCCATGAGTATGGGTAACTACACATTAGAGTAGTTGAAGATCAATCAGTCATGAGTATGGGGAACTACACATTAGAGTAGTTTTGAAGATCAATCAGCCATGAGTATGGGGAACTACACATTAGAGTAGGTGAAGATTAATTAGCTATGAGTATGGGGAACTACACATTGGAGTAGTTGAAGATCAATCAACCATGAGTATGGGAAACTACGCATTAGAGTAGGTGAAGATTAATCAGCCATGAGTATGGGGAACTACACATTAGAGTAGGTGAAGATTAATTAGCCATGAGTATGAGAAACTACACATTAGAGTAGGTGAAGATTAATTAGCCATGAGTATGGGGAACTACACATTAAAGTAGTTGAAGATCAATCAGCCATGAGTATGGGGAACTACATACAGTAGTTCATGGTCAATCAGCCATGAGTATGGGGAACTACACATTAGAGCAGGTGAAGATCAATCAGCCATGAGTATGAGAAACTACACATTAGAGTAGTTCAAGGTCAATCAGCCTTGACTGTGTATGTATATAGTTCAACCCCACCAGCACAACATAACGAGCGATAAACACCCGGTGACACAAAATGTTACCATGAGGATGACAATCAGCTGGGTACAAATCCCACAAACCCCATTCAACTGTTAGGTTATATTAGTGCCCTGGACTACAGCCGGAGTGGGGCAACCCATATTGGGATGGCAGGTTTTTTCAACCTTGAGTATGGGGAACTACATGTTTGTGGGGCTGATGGTCAGCCTGGGACACTGAGGAAACCAAATGTAAATGTCATGGACAGTTGACAAAAGATGGAAACCAGACACTTGACCACAATGAGACCAGTGTGACAAAAACAAACGTCTGACCTGGCCCGCTGCAGACTCTCTTCATCCCCGATGAGTCCCTGGTCATTGATGGTCAGTGTCCTCTCAACGGAGCGGAAGTAATTCAGCACTGTTAAACACTGTGAAATCAAGATGTCATCTCATCAACTTGAGTGATTATACTTGTTCTTGTATGATTACACTAGTTCATGTGATGGAATAAACGTATTGTTACATGTCATCTTACGTACTTTAGTAATTGTACTAGCTCACATGTTGAAATGACTGCAGTTGCATGTCAATTTTGAATACTCTAGTGACTTTACTAGCTCATGTTTTGGAATGACTGTATTGTTACATGTCATCTTGTGTACTTTAGTGACTGCACTAGCTCATGTGTCAGAATGACTGTACTGTTATCCAAAGCAACCTTGTTCAGACCATGTCAAACCAAACCTTTGCTCATGCATTTGAATGATCGTAATACTATCTGACACAGTAAAACACGTCCTGGCAAATTCAGTTGAATTTTGAATTAAGAATTGACATCACAGCACTCCCATAAGTGCTCCATCCCTATCTTCATCAAGCGAAGATTTCCAATTCCAATGGTACCAGTAACTGTCTGATTGTAGATCTGTCCTGCCTTTCCACTGAGTGTTGAGTATCGGTCAGATTCCCTGCTAGCTCCCCAAAGTGCCATTTTCCTCAGACCGTAATAACCTGTTTGTGCCTCCGCACTTTTCACTCGCTCCAAGAGGGCCCAGACAACATCTAGCTTGTCATACATCAATTCACCACAAAGTAGTGCAGAACTGATGATTGCAAATTTTGTATGTGTGCATGCTAAAGAAAAATAAGACTAGGATTTTTCTCCAGCATCTGAGATTTTTTTTACCATAATTATAATCTTGACAACTCAAATGTGAAACTACCGGAAACAAAATGATACTGTCCCAGCAAATATGGGTTTTATGGTCAACCTAAGACAGTTATTATAAACTCTAAATACCTTCACTAGACAACTGTCTCCAGAACTGTGTCCATGACACCTGACCAGATGACAATCACACATTGACAATAACAGTGACAGTTTGTAGTCCAGGTAAGCACTGTTTACTTACTGTTCTCTTCATGTCACGGATTCGTAAGTGACGAAGATGTAGGTAAGACAGGAATGCGCCCTGCGTCATCACCGGATCTGCCTTATCTTTCTCTCCATCATCCAAACCTGATTATAATTGTAAACAACAAGAACAGAGGTGATAATGAGGTTGGACTATCTCACTATCTCAGAAAAATGGACAAAGAATACACAACATGATTACAACAGGATATGTCTGGTGTAACTTTTTTTTTCTGAACTAAAAAAAACAACTGCTAAATGCAATATAACATAAACAGAAATTTGTGTAAAGCTCAGAATGCATCTGTTTTAGTCTTAGTTTGTATTCCCCGTGTGGGTTCAGGGACCCTGTTATAGGGAGGGGACAAAAGAACACACTCACTGCCTACCCAAAAGCATGTTGTAAGAGTCGACTAATTAGGAGCTTCCTTCTTAGTTGAAGTGCATCTGCCTGAGAGCCAAGGAACCAACAGTCTGCATACAAATTAATCAAATCTGTCAAACGGATGCATATGCAACACTCAAGCTCTGGAACAGGACTGCAGTTCAAAAGTGGACAAACAAACAGAACTTTCTGCCAGAGTTTACAGCTGGCGAATGTGATGAAAAAGAAGAAGAAGTCCTAGTCTTAGTTGAGGTTTCAACTTCACTGCCATTGGGTTTCCCAGTACTTGCTCCGCTCCTACGCCAATGCAAATCAAATGAAATGTTCCTCACTGTCTCATTTGAAAAACTGGTGAACAAACAATTAGTCCAATAACAATCCAGAAATATGCGCACACAGTTAATGCATACAGCAGTTGCTAGAGGTGCCAAGGTCAACAGTCGCCACCAGAAATGCAGTTTGTCGTTGATGGAAGTAGTCGGGCACAATAAGTTGGCTACACACACGTAGAATTATTACATAAGGTATTTCACCAGCTCACCCATAAACTGGCTACCAATCATATTGAATACCATGATTCAACCACTTCACAATGAAAAGCATTCCACATGAAAAACACAGCTCACAGGGCTGCACCAAGCAGTGGTCAAAAGTAAAGGTCATTTTTCCATGCTTTTGGACGTACTGTGAATCTAGGGCTAGACCTAGATTTTTATAGACCAATCAGCTATTGGTGGGTAATGTGGTCAGCATTACACCGACTGCCTTTACTTCCCAGGACTGCACTTGCTACCTCCTCAAGGTTGAGCCACGGCCTGGGTGTAGAGATCATTTTTTTTTTTAAATGTCAAGCTCCGTCAGGATGCAAACTCACGACCTTCCAACCTGCAGGCTGGCGTCTAGCTGCCAATGCCACGGTGACTCCCACTAAACTCAGTAGCTCAGGCACTAAAACCACAGAGTACCATCCATATGAGGAAACTGCAAGGGGCAAAGGGCTGTTGGAAGCAAAAATCACTTTGAAGCTTAACATTCTGCCCTGCCTAATCCTCCATTTTAGACTGGAAACCTAACTGTATCTAACCATCAGCAGCTACTCAACTAACAAATGCTCCTGAACATGTCCATTAGAGATCCAAACCACTTTGATCTGTTTCCCAAAGGGTTCATTTCACATAACAGAAGCTTTTATTTGTGAATCGTGCAACCTAATTTATACAACATGTGCAACCAAATTTCAAAAAAGTATACATTGGGGAAACTGGTAGGAAGCTAGCTGACTGTTTCCATTAAAGTTTTGGTGATATTCAAAATAAGGATCTTAAACTTGTCTTCTTCTACTTTAACAGTTCTGACCACAAAGTCAAAAGCAATATATCAGTCACTGCTATTAAATCTTTCTCTGGTGATCAAATCAGTGTTACTCATTAGAAAACTGTTTCATTCATAGCTTTGGTGTTCACAGTCCTGGATGGATCAATATCCAAACCAAACTAATATAATTTAATTTATTAACTTCCTAATTTATTTAACTTATTAAAAATTTGTCCCTTTTTTTTTTTTCTACATATTGCTATTTTCTAATTTTCTTTCATATTCTAGGCCTTATATTCATATTTCTATACCCATTTGCTTGGTTGTATTTGTGTGTCTTTTCCATTCTCTCCGCTAAGCTTTCTAGTAAAATTGTATGTTATATTTAGCTTTTCTTATCATCAGCGCAACTGCAGTCACCCTCTCTTTGCGCACTCACCTAACATCTCTTTACGCACTCACCTAACATCTCTTTGCACACTCACCTAACATCTCTTTGCGCACTCACCTAACATCTCTTTGTGCACTCACCTAACATCTCTTTGTGCACTCACCTAACATCTCTTTGCGCACTCACCTAACATCTCTTTGCGCACTCACCTAACATCTCTTTGCGCACTCACCTAACATCTCTTTGTGCACTCACCTAACATCTCTTTGCGCACTGACCTAACATCTCTTTGCGCACTCACCTAACATCTCTTTGCGCACTCACCTAACATCTCTTTGCGCACTCACCTAACATTTCTTTGCGGACTCACCTAACATCTGAACTGTGCTCAGGTAATCATAACTGTCCTTCCTCCCGTGAGCACTGCCAGCTCTGTCTGACCTCACATCGAAGCTGGCACTGTCAAGATCTCTGTCGTCAAAGTCTTGCGTCGACACACTCTCATCTTTCTCAGTGCTGAACCATGAAAACAAAAGCACTCAAAAACTGTTTTATTTTGCATGTGTGTCACACAAAAATATGAACACTTACCTAATGTTTTACACACAAAATTGAGCACTTAAGAACTGTGCTACACAAAAACATCAGCACTCACCAAATGTTCTAGACAAAAACATCAGCACTCACCAAATGTTCTAGACAAAAACATCAGCACTCACCAAATGTTCTAGACAAAAACATCAGCACTCACCAAATGTTCTAGACAAAAACATCAGCACTCACCAAATGTTCTAGACAAAAACATCAGCACTCACCAAATGTTCTAGACAAAATATCAGCACTCACCAAATGTGCTACACAAAAACATGAGCACTCACTAAATGTTCTCCACAAAAACATGAGCACTCACCCAGTATTCCACATAAAAACATGAGTACACCAAGCGTTCACACAAAACAACTTTACTTAACATCATTCACCATATATTTGGAGCACAGTTCTCACAAGCCCTGACAATAAGTCAATAATAGCAAACTTCCAGTTATATGCAACAAAAGGCAACTCTGGGAGCAAATAATGGTAAGTGAAATAATTATTTTTGTAACATTTTGTTGTGAAATTACCACCTGCTAAATACTTCTTTCCTACTAACTATAACAGTATAAACATACACTTATTATAAGATTAAAAAAATATATGTTTTTCTCTTTGAAAAAATATATTCTTTGTAGAGGTTAGAAGTATATTACATTCTCTATTTTTTTTTTTTTTTTTTTTTTTTGTACAACACCATCTCTGCCATTTTTGTAAAGGGAAATTAATGTGGGCCAAGTCTGACAAAACTCATGGGCCTGAAAGAGGTAATAAGAGTAAAAATGCTATCATCTGGTTTGGAACCAGTGTCTATAGCTGCTAGTCTATAGAGCAGTCAATATCTGGAACTGAAGAGTTGGTTTGTTACAGTGATGACAGATGGCAAATGATGATGCTGACATGTCAGGGAAAAGCAACAGAACAATAATTCATTCACTCGTGATAGAGGTCTGGGTCCGAGTAGATCTTCTTCCAGGTGGCTCTCGTGCTGTCATGGGTTCTGTGGGGGGTTACTGAGGTCGCTGCTACTGGCTGGGGCTCCTGGAGCTGGGCAGCATGTTTCTTGAGGGTCTCCTGGACTTTCTGTGAAGAGGTGAGACATTTGTCAATGACTTACACTTACATAACTCTTTGGTGACAATTTTCATGATACGATATCAAGGAAAACAGCTGACTAAATGAAATATAACTAACCCCCTGTGATATTATTTTACAAATGAAAAAATATTCTGTGAAATATTATTTCTTTTTTCAGCTGAGATGAGAAACAGAATTCTCAACAGCTAGATCAATCCATTCCTAAAGGTTAAAGGTTAAAATCAAGAGGATAGACTTCACTGCACCGGATTTTATCCCATATAGCTCGGTCTCTTTCTCTGCAGAACAGCTAGCCACCTGCCGAGAGCATCACACAGAGCACAAACTCTGTAGCTCCGGTGAAGACCCCCAGGGATCTCCGTAAAAACTGCACTCATGAACCGATGAGGCAGCCATGAAATGAATCCGTGACCTTTAGAGTGCAAGGCTAACGGCTAGACCACTTCGCCACGGAGACCTCAATCCTATCCTAATATATGGAAGTGAAACATGCACAGTTGATCAATTATAAAAAATTTTTGAAGCTGTGGAGATGTGATTTTACAAAAGAATCATAGGAAGACCTTGGACAGATAAAAAGAACGAACAAACAAACTTTATTTTCAAAGGGTCACAAAATGGGCATGCTGGTTTGTATTACATTCATGAGTAAAATTTGTCTTACATAAAAAAAAATAATAGAGATGTCTTGAAAGAAACTGAGTCATGAACAGAATTGATTTTTCCACATCAAAGGGAAGGTAATCTACATTCTTTGGTCATATCTTGAGAAGAGGAAAACTGGAGTACATTAAAACAGTGAGAGAGTTGGAGAGGAAAACATACAGAGGGAGACCGAGAGAAAAGATGCTGGACAGCCTAACCTCTGACATGATGGCATGGACGATCATCTGTGTCAGAACCTACTGGGAACATGGGACAGAAGGTTGTGGACAGACATGACTCCCCAGGCAGCACAGCAGAGCATCCATGGGCCTACCCTCCCCAGGCAGCACAGTAGAGCACCCATGGGCCTCCCCAGGCAGCACAGTAGAGCATCCCTGGGCCACCCCTTCCCAGGCAGTACAGTAGATCATCCATGGCCCCCCCCCCCCTCCCCAGGCAGCACAGCAGAGCATCCATGGACCTCCCCTCCCCAGGCAGCACAGGAGAGCATCCTTCAAATGTTCTGGCCTCACCTTGCAATTTTTGACCTTGACAAAATGAGCCTGGACTTTGAGAAGCTCATCAGTAAACTTGAGCTGCTGCATGTCTGCCCAGCCTCTCTGCTGCTGGGGATCTCTCTCTGGGCACAGTTTCACAAATCCACACCAGTTGGCTTCCTTCTTGTAAATGTAGTTCATGCCTCCTGACTCAGTGCTTGCTTGTCCAGGCTGAAAGGAAAGCCAAAAATTGATTAAGTGAGCCAATCTGGCAAAAAAGGTTTCCTTTAAAAGACCTTATCATGCTAAAATATGTCAGCCACTTTGGCAAGCTTGGCGTATAGGTAATGGTACTAAAGAGATGCACACATGTACACACTGCACACATGTACACACACATATGCATGCACACACACTGTCAGAGGTCATCCTGGTATGGGTCAGGGGAATGTGATGATGATGAATTGGCAGGTCTGTGCCTAGTGACCCCTAACTAAAACTCATGGCTAGTGCAGATAAGCCGAAACACAGATTAGTCCATATTAGATGAACTAGGCTTGCCGTGTAGTCAGCGGACTTCACGAGCGACACTGAGTTAACGCTGAACCCCGGAGTTCAACAAAACGACTTTGCTAAGGGCAGATCGGGGATTCTTGGTGAGACATCTGTGTGACCAGGAGGCTGTTTGACCAGACAGTTAGACTGTAGTATTTCATTGACATATTGTACTGACAGGTAGAAAGGTGGCATGTATTAGATGTTAGCTGTGATTCATACAGTCCAGTGTTTGACGGTAGTGTGTTAGTACTTTATGGTGTAGCTAGGCAGGAATTGTTTTAGAGCTCATCAAGCATATAGATTCATGATAGCAGTTAAACTCCTTTTTAGTAGTGATACCTGGTCATGGGAAACAAGGTCAGGCATTGTTTGTGGCGATGGCATCTGCCGACATACCTTCAGCTCTCACTCGGAGTGTGCTGCAGAATCCTTGGCATCGGGAGACAGTGGCTTGAGAAGCGTTGTATGGGAGTATGGTAGGAGCTCAGAGCTTATTCAATGAAACGTATAAAGGTGCGTGTAGCAATTTTAAAACTAGAGTGGCCTGGTTCCAAAATAAGAAGCCCTACCACTCCAGAAGCTAAAATGTATAAGTTCGTACTCTTTGATATTAAAGATTCTGTGTGTTCCACGTGCCTTCAGTTTGGTGTGTTCTTTAGCAGATTTATCTGTCACCAGCCACAGATTTATACCCTAGACAAGTAAGTCATTGACACACACAAAATTAAATGGAGGAGAGCTGTGTGATGTATAATCTGCTGGAAACATCATGAGGTTTATCTCAAACAAGCAGTAGGTCCTGACACCCAACTCAGAAACATCATGAACCTTAGCTCAAACAAACCACAGGTCCTGACATCCAACTCAGAAACATCATGAACCCTACCTCAAACAATCCGCAGGTCCTGACACCCAACTCAGAAACATCATGAACCCTACCTCAAACAATCCGCAGGTCCTGACACCCAACTCAGAAACATCATCAACCTTACCTCAAACAGACTGTAGGTTCTGACACCCAACTCAGAAACATCATGAACCTTACCTCAAACAAGTTGTAGGTCCTGACACCCAACTCAGAAATATCATGAACTTCACCTCAAACAGACCGTAGGTCCTGACACGAACTCAGAAACATCATGAACCTCACCTCAAACAAGCCATAGGTCCGGAGATGACCAAGGAGCTCTTGCTTGGTAAAGATCTGCTTGAACTTGCGGTTGACAGCACCAAACAGTTCCATCTGGTCAGCACTGTTGTTAACACTGCTGATGTCCTGGAAGCAAACAGAGAGATGATTTGACCAAGTGGGGGGGGGGGGGGGTGAATCTGGCAGCCCAGTATAGACTTGTCAGTTTGTGTGGGCTGGCAGGTCAATGTGGTTACACAGGTCTGCACATTAATAGCTGGCCATGTGGGCTTACAGATGAGTGAGAGGGCTGGTGTTTAAACAGGTGTAAGAGAGGGCTTACATGGAAGCAGAGAGAGAAATAGTTGTCATGATGCTGACAGAGAAAGAGTTGACATAATGTTGACAGAGAGCGAGAGAGAGAGAGAGAGAGAGAGAGAGAGAGAGAGAGAGAGAGAGAGAGAGAGAGAGAGAGAGAGAGAGAGTTGCCATAATGCTGACAATAGAGAGCATTCTCATGATGCTGAAAGACATAGTTGTCATAATGTTGACATAGATAGAGCTGTCATAATGTTGACAGAGATATAGTTTTCATAATGTTGACATAGATAGAGTAGTCATAATGGTGACATATATAGAACTGTCATAATGCGGATAAGAGATAGAGTTGTCATTAATGTTGACAGAGATCGAGTTGTCATTATGTTGAAAGAGATATAGTTTTTATAATGTTGATAAGAGATATAGTTGTCATAATGTTGACAGAGATAGAGTTGTCATAATGTTAACAGAGATAGAGTTGTCATAATGTTTACACAGATAGAGTTGTCAAATTGTTGACATAGATAGAGTAGTCGTAATGTCGATAAGAGACACAGTTGTAATTATGTTGACAAGAGAGAGAGTTGTCACAATGTTGACATAAAGTTGTCAAAATGTTGATAAGAGATAGAGTTGTCATAATGTTGACAGAGATATGTCATAATGTTGATAAGAGATAGAGTTGTCATAATGTTGACAGAGATAGAATTGTCATAGAGTTGACAGAGATAGAGTTGTCATAACATCCTCATAAATAGAGCTGACATAATTTGGACAGAGATAGCTGCTATCATGTTGACAGAGATAAAGTTGTCATAATGTTAACATAAAAAACGTTCTTATAATCTGACATCATAACACACGCAACATTTCCATAAGTGTTTCATCCCTACCTTCAGCAGCCAGTTCAGAGTTCCAAAACCAGAGGTACCAGTAACAGTCTGATTATATGTCCGTCTTCTAAGCACCGAGTATCGGCCAGATTTCATCATCACTCCTCTCTGCCCCACTCTCATCAGACTGTGATAATCAATTTGCTGTTCGAATTGTAGGTTTGCTCCCATAAGGCCTTAACCATGTCTGCCTTATCATGCATCAATATTTCACTAAGGTGTACAGATCCAGCCAGTCTGTCCATCTGTTCCTTTCCCAACACAATGTCATGCCTCAGAAAACAGATCCAGGCAATTCTCTGGACCCGTGCCTGCCAAAGTGATGCATGCCATTCTATACAAAGCACGCCTGTCCTCACCTTCCTCAGCCTGTTTCCTGAGTCTGTTATAACCATGATGGGTGTGTATCATGTTTCGATAGCGGAAAGCTACAGTAACCAACTCCACCTCCACTCTTAAGCTAGATGTTGTGGTATCATATACTAGGCTCTCCTGCACCGAACGCCAGCCACTAGATTTTGGGAGAAGCTTGCCGCTTTTCAAAAATTCTTGCAGCTTTACAGCAACTATCTTCTCCAAGAACTTCCCAAATGTATTTTGTAAGGTGATGATTCTAACGCCACTGGGCTTTGAATGATCCTTAAAAGGTTTTGGCAGTGGGATTAGATAGCTGTGCAACCAGTCCTGCGATGCTGATGCTGTCTTAATACTCTGGTTGAAGCAGTCGGTCATCTCCGTCAGGCCTACATCGCTCAACGTCCTCATGTGACCTTTCTTGGTGGTTCTTTAACAGGTGAGGTAGGGATGGGAGTCTGTTTCATGATGGCATGAAACACAGCTGCTTGCTTGTGGTTATAATCAAAGAGATAGAGTTGTCACAGTGTTGACAGAGTTGTCACAGTGTTGACAGAGTTGTCACAGTGTTAACAGAGTTATCACAGTGTTGACAGAGTTGTCACAGTGTTGACAGAGTTGTCACAGTGTTGACAGAGTTGTCACAGTGTTGACAGAGTTAGTCACAGTGTTGGCAAAGTTTTCACAAATGTTGACAGAGTTGTCACAGTGTTGACAAAGTTGTCACAGTGTGAACAGAGTTGTCACAAGTGTTGACAGAGTTGTCACAAGTGGCAGTGACTTGGATATTGTCGTCACTAAAAGAAGCATTATGATACAAGCTCAGACATGAGATTCCTAGAGTGTGGCACACTGACATCACCCACCTGTCCAGGTGAGATACTCACAAAGTCTATAGCGTACACATCAATGAGGAAGGCCAGCTGAGGTCGCAAGTGCTCCAGATCCACTCTACCCATGGGCAGACCCAGCATAGGTTCCTCTGGGGCCAGACCTCTACCTGAGATGGGAGGGGAAGGTGGGGGGAGGGGGGGGGGGGGAGTTTACAAGTGTAGATTAGTATCAGACTGGTGACTGTCAATAAGTTCACAGGATAAAGTTCACTGATACCTTTTAAAATATGTAACCACGAATGTACAAATGTGTGTGCATCTGTATATGTGTATGTATGTATGTCTTCTTCTTCTTCTTCTTGGTGTACACTTGTTGTAATCTCCGGCAGAAGGTTTTGCTTGTTCAGTCACTTCTGGACTGTGAAAGTTCACTTCAGAACTTTGGTTGTGCATTCACATCTGTTTCAAAGATCTGGTTTATTTGTATGAAGACTGTTGGTTTCTCCCCTCTCAAGCTGATGCAATTGGACTTTGAAGGAAACTCCCCTAATTAGTCACCTTGTATGGCATGCTTGCTTGGAGGCAGCAAGTCTATTATTTCCTACCACCACTCCTCTCCCCTGAGATCTGGGTTCTGGAATCCACACAGTGAGCGTATGTATGTAAACATGTTGGTAATACAAACATTAGTCTCCCCATTTACAGTGTTACACACTAGCTTACTTCTGATTGGTAGACCTTCAGCCTAGCTCACTTCTGATTGGTCGACCTCGAGCCACACTACCTTGCCACAAAGTTACGGTAGTTTCCCGCTATGCCGCCAATATTGCATGTTGTATATTTCAGCACACCAGCACTTTTAACACTCTAAAAACATCGACAAACTGGGCCTAACACAAAACTCCTTTAGAGAGTGATGAAACCTATCTCACAAACATTCTCTTTCTCGGAATAAAAACGTAAAGGCAAGACAACCTAAAAATCAAACAGCAGAGCGGCACAACCCCTAACCTGCAGAAAGGCAGACCAGTCCAACAAACTTGTGAATGGAACGTGACCTACTTTGTTTGGGGAGACCAACGTTTGTATAACCAACATGTGTATCTTCATGTGTGTGTCTACCCGTCTGTATGTATGTGTGTGCGCGTCTGCCTTACGGTTTGCATACCTGTATATATTTGTGTCCAAACACACAAATCCCTGACTGATATCTCATATAATTTATTTAGCTCTAGAGAAATAATAGAACAGGTGACCAAACACATCTTTCTCTTTTTCTGACTCAAACTGTTCATAATTATCCATTTTATTTCCCATTTTAATTGTTGCTTTTTGTTTGCGCAAACTTTTTTTTTTTTTTAGAAAGCTTTTGTGTAATCTCTACAGTAGAAGGATGAGAATTGTTTCTGCCTTCCCTGATCTCTCAGACAGTGTACAGAATGTCTTAGACTGTTGCAATTTTTCTCCCATTTCAAAAATCCATGGGGCTCTTCACTCATTGCCATCACTATCTGCCTTCTTGTGCTACTCATTTAATGTGCCCAGTAAAAGTTGACGATGGTTTCTGAAGTTGAATTAGTAAAGGGATATAAACCAGATATCAGAACATCACTATTCATGTGTCAGTTGAATGAACATTTCTCGTCCAAATTCTTCTTGAACTCCTCATTGCTCTGCTGGAATTCTATGTGGCCCAGGTTCAAATTTTCTCTATCTTTCTGATTGACATATTCATGGCATTGTGGTGCTGGGGTGTCTGTGGATTACCTACCTCCCCGGGCAGCAGCTAGAAATGCCCTGTACCAGTTCTAAAGGAAATATGGGTTGTGTTTCTGCCTTTCCCTTTTACACGTAGCTAAGGTGGGGCTCACAGTGTGCTCATTCCCCGCCACCAGATTGCCTGCAGGTTTCGCTGAGCTCTTCATGTCTCTAAGCATGGCCTAAGCATGAGTAGTTGGGGCAACTGGATCGTCACGTCCTGAGTCCCTGTGCCTTCACGATAGTTTCCGGTATTCAGGGGGGTTAGCATACTTGTTTCCATTCCTAAGACTGTTCAGCACACCTCTGGCTCCTTCCCTCCCACAGGGGGCAGTACGGTGTGGTGCACCGGGTTTATTATCGAGGTTTGCTCCTCTAGATCCATTGTGTTTTGCCTGGGGATTCGCACCCCCAGTTACCGGGACTACCTCGGGGAGGCTGTGACTCTTCGCCACGCACAATGGTCTTGAGGTAAGAGAGGTTTTGCTAGGTCAAGAGGCTGACACCACAATGGACGCTCCTTTCGTGAACAGATATTCACTAGACCTAGGGTGAAGTAAGGGGGGGAACCCACTACCCACAACACCAACACTTCTTACCCCCTGCCTCTCGAGGCTCAGTCCCCTATCTTTCTGATAACATTAGTTATTTCTTCGTTTAGCTTTAGTGGATTGTTCTTTGTTTAATTTTGGAGGATCTTTCTTTGTTTAGTTTTGGTAGATCTTCTGAATTACTCAGTGTAATTAATTCTGCTTTATCTGTTGTCAATTATACAACAAGTATTCACACCGCTGTTTACAATCATGATCTTTTCCCATTAAAAACTTTTCATCTTTGATTTCAAACATACTGAAAGAGTTTAATTTGCTTTTTCTACCTCTCAAATTATTGATTTATCTGTACATTTATTTTTTTTAAATCTTAAAATACATGCTCTGTTGCAAACTTTATTTAATTCATGTTACCAAACAAGAAAATGTATCAGTCAAGAAAACACATGTATCAGACAGGAAAACATATGTATTTGACAGAAAACATGTGTATCAGACAGGAAAACATATGTATTTGACAGAAAACCCATGTATCAGACAGGAAAAAATATGTATTTGACAGAAAACACATGTATCAGACAGGAAAACATATGTATTTGACAGAAAACACATGTATCAGACAGGAAAACATATGTATTTGACAGAAAACACATGTATCAGACAGGAAAACATATGTATTTGACAGAAAACACATGTATCAGACATTACCTGAAGCTGCAGTTGAGGATGGCAGAACAACAGCAGACGTCAGCAGGGTGGGACTTGGTGGAGCAGGGGCAGCAGCAGAGGAAGCAGCAGCACTGGTGTGTGACCTCACAGATGCTGGTCTGGATAAGTCTGCCAGCTTGTGTGTGGGCCTGTAGTCATGGCAATGAGATGCTCTGTGTGCAGCCGTTTCTTCTTCGTTCCGCTCCTTTTTGCGATTAGAAAAATTTTTAAGCAATGAGAAGACAGATAAAACCACCAGAATTTGTTAATGGAACCAATATCCACCACTGCTGACTACACTCACTCTCAAAAGTTTATCTGAGCTTCATCCAGCCAAATAGACACATGGAGTTTTCTTGGAGAAATCTCAGCTGAGTGATTTTGTATACTCTTGTCTGTGTTGGTGGTAATGTATATTCATGAAATATGTTAGTGAAAAGCACTCTAGCCACAACGTTCACTTGTTGTTTGTGTTTGTCGCAGTGTGAATCCGACTTTTTCTACTTTTCGTCTGCTTCAGTATCTTTTGAATGATCAACATAAAACAGGGCAAATTCAAGAGCGATGAAGAAATAAGAAAAATTACTGGGCAACTACTGGCAACAACAGTTATAAGACAGTGAAGATGGTGGTGTACTGGACACCTTCTGAGATGAAACAAGCAGAGAATCTTGAATCAGGAACTAAAATGGGAAATATTGGGATTAAGAAACCAAGGACACCCAAAAGAAACCCTAAAATGAACACTGGTGAGAGAGGCTAAAGCAGCTGATGATAGAACGGATGGAAGAATAGACTGTGAACCCTGTGTGACATACAATGCCAAAACAGGACAATGAAGATGATGATGATTATATCTTTTCATTACCACCAAAACTGTATAACATAGTGACTGATTTGCTACTTGTATAAAACTGGGATATTGCTACACTTCATTCAGATAAATAAAGAGCCACCCTAACCCCTTCAGACAGTGTGTGTGTGTGTGTCCACACATGCATGCCTCAGCAGAAAGTATACTGAACATAAACATATCATCACAACATAACAGGACAATGACACAATGACAAAATGACATGTAACTGCTGAAATATATAGACAAAATGACATGTAACTGCTAAGATATGTAGCAAAAATGACATGTAACTGCTGAGATTGTAGCCAAAAATGACACGTAACTGCTGAAATATATAGCCAAAATGACATGTAACTGCTAAGATATGTAGCAAAAATGACATGTAACTGTTGAAATATGTAGCCAGCATGGCACTTAACTGCTGAAAAATGTAGCCAAAATGACATGTAACTGCTGAAAAATGTAGCCAAAATGACATATAACTGCTGAAATATGTAGCCAAAATGGCACATAACTGCTGAAAACTGTAGCCAAAATGACATGTAACTACTGAAATATGTAGCCAAAATGACATGTAACTGCTGAAATATGTAGCCAAAATGACATGTAACCAATGATATATGTAGCCAAATGAATCTAAAAACATAAATGCTTAATGACATGTAAATGATGACACATGGCATAAAGACATCAAGCCACCCTCACAGCAAATCAAGCAGAAAATGCGTGTGACAAACGTCCACATGAGATACTTGGGGCTATAAAGGTAAACGAGGACAAGTCCGAGGTTGTCTCATGGTCAGCTGTGTACCAGAGTTGGAAGAAGACAGTCGTGATGTCGTCAAAGTAGTTTGATTTAAGTGTAGTCAACGTTGAGTAAATGAGTACTGTGGCATAGTTGTGGAAGTGAACAGCGATGATTGTGGTTGAGTAATTGTGATGCAGAAGGAGAAATAAACTGGCAGAATGGCGTTCGACGTTTCAGTGTTGTCAATTGTTGAAAGCTGTATTTGTTCCAAAGTAAACAAGCTATTTTAAAAGTGAGCCAGCTTTCTTACAACAACCAGTGGGGCGTCACCAGATAATTCCACCAAAGGACACAACACAGTGACATCGCCAGAAACATATAATCAAGAGTGAGTAACTAATGACATGTGACCAAACCTTGTCATCAGGCCTGACATCTGGAGGGACGAGGTCATCCTTGTGAACTGTGGGCAGCCACTGGAGGACCTAGATCAGGGGTGAGAGACACACAGATGTCAGCGCTCACACATCACATCCACATCACAGATGTCACACAACTGACATATCATACAAAAGACATGTCATGCAACTGACAAACGTCACACCTGACATATCGAACAACACATGTGTGCCACAAAAGTCACACAACTCACAGCAATCATGTCACAAATGTGACACAAATGACATGTAATTAACTAACATGTCACAAAACAATCGAAGTCATAAATATCACACAAATGACATGTCATACAACACTATGAATATCTGTGTTACTTTACTGTGTATTTATTCTTTGCCTCCCTTACGGGAACTAAAATACACAGACCGATTTTGACACATATAACTTCTTTACATGGTTACATAGATATCCTACCTACATGGACATACATATTTTCTCCCTACATCTACATATGTAATCTGTCATCATATGGATACATATATATATATATATAAATTTATATATATATATATTCCTTCCCCTGCACTCACTCACACCCACACATACAAACACAGACACATACACAAAGAGAGAAAAATATATCTGCCACAGACGGACTCATATCTGTATGTCCCGTACCCATATCACATACAAGATTCATCCAGTGTACGCGGTAAGAAATCCCCACCTTGAAGAACTGATGAAACTTCTTCAGGGAATGTAGATGACAGACCAGCCACCTGAGATAGATCTGCAGGTCCTCCAGACTGACGGCAGTGACTGCTGACTCTGGCTTGTCCTGCATCAGTGTCTCCCTGGCCAGCGACAGTCTTTGAGCTCTCTGAACACTGTCATTGTACTCAAACAGGATCTGTCTGAGAACAAGGGAGACACACACATTGTCAACATAGTTTTGGGGAGACTCACACATTATCAACATAGTTTTACTGGGAAAAGGGGAGACTCACACATTATCAACATAGTTTTACTGGGAAAAGGGGAGACTCACACATTATCAACATAGTTTTACTGGGAAAAGGGGAGACTCACACATTATCAACATAGTTTTACTGGGAACAGGGGAGACTCACACATTATCAACATAGTTTTACTGAGAACAAGGGAGACCCACACATTATCAACATAGTTTTACTGGGAAAAGGGGAAACTCACACATTATCAACATAGTTTTACTGGGAAAAGGGGAGACTCACACATTATCAACATAGTTTTACTGGGAAAAGGGGACACTCACACATTATCAACATAGTTTTACTGGGAAAAGGGGACACTCACACATTATCAACATAGTTTTACTGGGAAAAGGGGACACTCACACATTATCAACATAGTTTTACTGGGAAAAGGGGACACTCACACATTATCAACATAGTTTTACTGGGAAAAGGGGACACTCACACATTATCAACATAGTTTTACTGGGAAAAGGGGACACTCACACATTATCAACATAGTTTTACTGGGAAAAGGGGAGACTCACACATTATCAACATAGTTTTACTGGGAAAAGGGGACACTCACACATTATCAACATAAAGTGAAAACAGGGAAGACCCACACATTATCCACAGAAAGTGAAAACAGGGAAGACCTATACATTATCAATTGCACGGTGTCTGTGGCTTAGGCCTTGTGAGTCCGACTCATAATTTCAATGTACCGCGATTGAAACCCATTACAGGCTAGGTGGTATGGGGCGTCGCAGGTCGGCCCAGCCTAAAATGGGTACCAGGATGTATGTTTTGAGAAAGTAAAGATGGCCGGCGTAATGCTGACCACATTACCCACCTAGTGCCGATTGGGCTGTCAAAATACGGGTACTCTTCCCATATGCCCGATGAGCCTAAAGAAATCTTTACTTTACTTTACTATACATTATATAGTGGAAACAGGGAAGACCCACACACTATCAACATAGTTTTACTGGGAGCAAGGGAGACACACACATTCTTAAAATAATTGTTACTGGGAACAAGGGAAACCTACACATTATCAACATAGTTTTACTGGGAACAATAGAGATCCACACATTATCAACATAGTTTTACTGGGAACAATGGAGATCAACACATTATCAACATAGTTTTACTGGGAACCGGTGAGACCCACACATTATCAGCATAGTTTTACTGGGAACAAGAGAGGTCCACACATTATTAACATAGTTTTACTGGGAACCGGTGAGACCCACACATTATCAGCATAGTTTTACTGGGAACAAGAGAGGTCCACACATTATTAACATAGTTTTACTGGGAACAAGAGAGGTCCACACATTATTAACATAGTTTTACTGGGAACAAGAGAGAGCCACACATTATCAATAGAAGTAAAAACAGGGGAGACCTATACATTATCAATAATCTCAATAAAGAAATGAAACATTGAACTCCTGTGAGATTTTCTTCTGTGGTTCAGACATAATTCCTATCTCTAGATCTCAAACAACTTCCTTTCCTGGATTTAAATGAACTGTATGGATCAGTCAGAATTCCCTTCTGTAGATCTAACAAAATTCTCAAATGTTGTTCAGACAAAACTCCTTTCTCTTGAATCACAGCATCTAGTTTGAGAATAGAGGTGGAGTCTCTGCTACCTTTCGCTGGCTGGAGAATCAGCTGTTCACACATGTCGTTACTGTAACTGACTCACAGAGCAAGTTGAGAAAGGTGAAAACAGACATGCTTCATGCAGAGTGGCAAGCATCACTTCAGAGGTCCTGGATAGTTAGTATCCTTTGGATATTTTCTCCAGGTTATGCAGGTGTGTTGGAAAATGAGCAGGCAGATAGACTGGCTGGCTCTGCACCACTTAGTGGTGAATTAATGTATGACAAGTTAGATATTGTGAGGGCTCTTTGGGAGCGAGTAAATAGTGCGGAGGTGCAGACAGATCATTACGGTACAAGGAGAATTGTGCTGCAAGGAGTTACCAGTTGATCTGGTCGATGCTCAACACTCAGGGGAAGGATGAGACGGATATACAATCAGACGGTTACTGATACCATCAGAATTTGAACTCTTTGCTTGTAGCTAAAGATGGGGGACAGAACACTTATGGGAGTGTCCCGAGTGCTGTGATGTCGATTCTAAATTCAACATTCTCTCGAATAAACAGAATTCTCAAATCTGACGCAACACTTTATCTTCCAGTCTGGCTGACTCATTTTTAACCAAAGTCTTGGCTGACTTATGGTTCTGTGCAGTTTTGGCTGACTCAACATTTCACTAAAGTTTTGGCTGACTCAACATTTCATGTTGCTTACTCAACATTTCACTAAAGTTTTGCTGACTCAACATGTCACTCAAGTCTTGTTGAACACTTCACACAAGGCTTGGCTGACTCAACATTTCACTTATCTTGCTCACTAAATGCTCTACTCAAGTCTTGGCTGACTCAATATTTAACTAAAGTTTTGCTGACTCAACATTTCACCTAAGTCTTGAATGACTCAATGTTTAAACACTCAATTCTAGATCATTCAATTCATAATAATTTCCTTCCAGTCTGTCAGGAACAAATAAGGGTAATGAAAATTCTGGGTGTCTCAAACAAAGAAACAGAAATATAAAAAAAATCAAAGCAATGTTTGAACAAAGCATTCAATCATTTGCTTTATTCACGTAACTGTTACTGTTGTTTGCACTTGACGAGATACAGTGAAATATGCCAGGCAATAAACTGTGAGATTTATTGTTTGAATTTGTTGGTTCAAAAATAAAAATGTTGGAGGAAGCAGTAAGCACTTACTCCAGCCTCTTGCTGTAGACTGGGTAAAGGGCCTCCATGACACTGGTGTGTCTGGAGAACCGCCTCCATCGAAGCATGTGCTGATGTCTCAGGTGCAGCAAGTGTTGTATCCTCTCTGTGAAGTGCTGCAAAACAGAAACATCTCAGCAAGTCAACTATCAAGAACAATTACAGGCCAGGAATTAACTGAGACAAAACTAAATAAAATAAACACATTTATCATGCACAAACGTAGCTGACAATAACAAAATACAGGTGTGTACAGAGAGAGACAGTTAGTCACCTGCAGCAACAAGAGGGGGAGACTCCCGGATGTGTACTCATTGAGTTCTGTGGTGTCCATCTCCCTCTTCATCTGTTCAGCTTGGACACAGATAGGCTCCGCCCCACTCACCTGCAGTTGATTGACAGAAACAAAGAGGTGTACACTTAGTTCCCAAATTTTGAAGGTAGATGTAGCCAAAATTTACAAAACTAATTCAGATAGATCTAGCAAGAGTGTACAGAACTCATTGAGAGAGCTCTAGCCAGAGTTTACAGAATTCATTGAGATAGCTTCAACCAGACTGTACAGCTCATTGAGATAGATCTAGCTTGAGTGTACATAACTCTCTAGCTGGAGTTTGCAGAATTCAATGAGATAGCTTTAATGAGAACGCTTCAGCCAGACCGCACATAACACACTGAGAACACAACCAGTGAAAGCCGGAAACATGCTCTTACCACCCTCGAAAATATTGGATTGTCCCATGACGTCATCATGGGGGGAGATATCAGGAAAGCACCAAAAGTTGGATTTGATGCATATAGTTTTGTTTTAGTCATAGCCATCATGACTGCACTAACTGGCTGCAAATGTTACCTTCAGGGAACCATCAAATGTTGAATGTCAAGGCCAAGCGCTTACCTCCAGTACTCTCTGTACCACCAGTTTTCTCTCCCATTTAAAATGTTCCGGGTTTTCTGGAAGAGGGACAGAGCTGGCAATAGAACAAATACCACCATCAATGACTCAGTGACTACACATGGTAATTTATATTCCCAAACACAAGCACAGATTTTTTTATTTATACATCCATACACAGACAGATCTCTTATTTATACTTCCACACACACAGACAGATTTGTTTATTTATACACTAAAAACACCGACAGATTTCAAGTTTTATATACCCTATAGACAAGAAAGAATTACAGGATTTATTCTAACACTAGAAAGAATTTCATGATTTATACTAAAACAAGAAATAATTTCATGATTTATACTCTTAAACACACTAAAAGAAGTATGGCTATATGTTGGACTGTAGCTGGTATACTTCCAACACATCTGCTTCCTTGTGGTATCTCACACATGTATTTGATTTACATCTTAAGTGTGACTATTTCTAAGACTACAATAACCCCTACAGGTCAAGAGGTCAGCACCTGTGCTGGTATGTCCAAGTATCTGTCATGACTTCTGGCGAGCACATTCTCCTCACTACCTCACAAAAATTTTTTGAAATTTTCGAACACAGCAAAGCAAAAGACCTTTTTCCATGCTTTCAGGCATATTGGGTATATAGGGCTAGACCTATATTTTATTGACAAACTGGCACTCAGTGGGTGATGTAGTCAACATCACACCGACCATCTTTACTTCCCAGGACTATACCTGGTACCCAAACAAGGCTAGGTTGACCTTGGAGCTGAGGTTTTTTTTTTAAAGTCCGGCTCTGTCAGGGACAAATCCATGACCTTTCGATCCGCAGGCAAGTGTCTAGCTGCCTGACCATAGGGGTTCCCAATTTTTTAACACAATAATAACAATAAACCATTCACCCGTGACAGCAAACATTAAATATACCTATAAAAAGATACAAGAAATGTATCATACAACAGTCAGAGTATTGGCACCGAAACCACTGTCATGATATCATCATCAGCATCATGTGCCAATCTGGCAAGCACAGGAATCATGGCCCAGCATCCCACATTATGACATACACCAGTGTTTCTCAAACTGTTCATGGTCGCAGTGCCTTTTTCCAATTAAAACTTTTCCACGTCACCATAATCTAAGTAAAAGTATGACTATTGGTGTCTTGGTTGAATTAATGATGAAGCTTTTACAATATTTCGTGGCGTCCCTGTGAAGAGGTCGCGGCTCCAAGGGGCACCGAGGTGCAGTTTTGGAATCACTGATACAGATATTCAACATCTCATCAATTCTTTCAGCTGATCAACTTAAAGTATGTAAGAATGCTGATGATGATTAAGATGATGATGATGATGACGATGATGATAATGATGATGATGATGATGATAGTGGTGGTGATGATGATTATGGTAAAGGACACAGGTTCATGTTTGCAGTCAAACACAAACATCAAGAAATCAATCACTGGTTCATGTTTGCAGTCAAACACAAACATATCAAGAAATCAGTGACAGGTTCACAGGTTTATGTTTGCAGTCTATCACAAACACATCAAGAAATCAATCACAGGTTTATGTTTGCAGTCAATCACATACACATAAAGAAATCAATCGCACTTTAGGAGAAATCTGCACATTTTATATAGTTGCTCTGGCTGGCAAGTAAATCATTCACAGGTTTATGTTTGTGGTCAATCACATACACATCAAGAAATCAATCACACTTTAGGAGAAATCTGCACACTTTACCTGGTTGTTCTGGCTGGCAAGTCAACCTCTTCTAGTTCTGCTCTCAGTTCTGCTAATTCACGTGCCAGTTCAACCTCCATTTCTTTCACTTTCTCGCTGGCACCTACTTGATAGACATTGTGCAGCTCTTGGGCTGCCATCTTGTTAGATCTATTCAGTGCCAAACAGTGCTTGTGTCGATCAGATCTTGCTTGCATCAGGAAAAAGGTGGGCACAGACAAACAAGGCAAGAGAGGCTAGCAGAATTAAAGACAATGATTGTCTAAACTAGAAATAATTTTGTGTATGCCTAATTTTTTTGGCTCCATCATTGATTGTGACCTCATATTTCTAAGCTATCTCACTGCATGACTGGGTCCTTCTTTCTAATGGAAACTACTGATTGTGTCATCATGTGTCCAAGTTATCTCACTGCAGGACTGGGTCCTTCTTCCTGAGTGAAACTATTGATTATATCATCACGTATCTAAGTTATCTCATTGCATGACTGGGTCCTTCTTCCTGAGGGAAACTACTGATTGTGTCATCATGTATCTAAGCTGTCTCACTGGTAATCTGGTAATCCTAGTTTCAGCTTCATAGCAAACGGGTCACCCCATAGTTGCTCCGCTCCTGTGCCAACAAAAAACACACGTAGCTCATAGTGTCACGCCATGCACTCAACTCAGAAGAAGGGCGATGAAACTATTAATGTCTCACTGCATGACTGGGTCCTTCTTCATGATGGAAACTATTGACTCTGTCATCACATATCTAAGCTGTCTCATTGCATGACTGGGTCCTTATTCCTGAGGGAAACTACTGATTGTGTCATCATGTATCTAAGTTATCTCATTGCAGGACTGGGTCCTTATTCCTGAGTGAAACTATTGATTGTGTCATCATGTCTCTAAGTTATCTCATTGCAGGACTGGGTCCTTATTCCTGAGTGAAACTATTGATTGTGTCATCATGTATCTAAGTTATCTCATTGCATGACTGGGTCCTTATATGTGAGGGAAACTACTGATTGTGTGATCACGTATCTAAGTTATCTCACTGCAGGACTGGGTCCTTCTTCCTGAGTGAAACTATTGATTGTGTCATCATGTATCTAAGCTGTCTCATTGCAGGACTGGGTCCTTATATCTGAGGGAAACTACTGATTGTGTCATCATGTTTCTAAGTTATCTCATTGCATGACTGGGTCCTTATATCTGAGGGAAACTACTGATTGTGTCATCATGTATCTAAGTTATCTCACTGCAGGACTGGGTCCTTCTTTCTGAGGGAAACTATTGATTGTGTCATCATGTATCTAAGCTGTCTCATTGCAGGACTGGGTCCTTATTCCTGAGTGAAACTACTGATTGTGTCATCATGTATCTAAGTTATCTCACTGCAGGACTGGGTCCTTCTTTCTGAGGGAAACTATTGATTGTGTCATCATGTCTCTAAGTTATCTCATTGCAGGACTGGGTCCTTATTCCTGAGTGAAACTATTGATTGTGTCATCATGTATCTAAGTTATCTCATTGCATGACTGGGTCCTTATATGTGAGGGAAACTACTGATTGTGTGATCACGTATCTAAGTTATCTCACTGCAGGACTGGGTCCTTCTTCCTGAGTGAAACTATTGATTGTGTCATCATGTATCTAAGCTGTCTCATTGCAGGACTGGGTCCTTATATCTGAGGGAAACTACTGATTGTGTCATCATGTATCTAAGTTATCTCATTGCATGACTGGGTCCTTATATCTGAGGGAAACTACTGATTGTGTCATCATGTATCTAAGTTATCTCACTGCAGGACTGGGTCCTTCTTTCTGAGGGAAACTATTGATTGTGTCATCATGTATCTAAGCTGTCTCATTGCAGGACTGGGTCCTTATTCCTGAGTGAAACTATTGATTGTGTCATCATGTATCTAAGTTATCTCACTGCAGGACTGGGTCCTTATATCTGAGGGAAACTACTGATTGTGTCATCATGTATCTAAGTTATCTCACTGCATGACTAGGTACTTCTTTCTGAGGGAAACTACTGATCACTTGATGGGTGATGTATTCAACATTATTTTGTATATACAACCGGCATATGATGGGTGAGGGGTTCAACACCATTTTGTGTATATATGTATATAGAGTACAGTACTTTCCTCTAGGTATTTTGACTATATATCTGATTTTTTTTGGATGCTCAATTTACATTCCTGCTCCTCCATTTCTGCTTGCATTTTGTGCTGATCTATCCGTACAGACACAAACCCAAAGAATATGTGGGTATTCATCATCAAGTAGAGCGAGGGTGGCTGTTGTAAGTTGAACACTGTTTTGTTCTTCCTTGTCAAAAACTCCATTCACTTCTTTCTGAACGTGTATTGACAACTTATAATCCTCTGTCCAAGGGGTCTGATCTAGAAAAGCATTTGAGGGGCTATTAGTTGCAGGCAGATCATTGGTTTGCCTGCAGAGTCGTTGGGCCTGGTGAAGAAACTGTTTCTTTTTAGTCGCCCCATTGCTAGATTTTGGAATCTTTCTTTTATAGGGTGTTCAGGCATGCTAAGAAACTTTGGCTATCTTCCGAAAAAAGGTCCTAAATTATCGAGGCCGAAAATATACCCTAGAAGGGCCTCAGTCAGACGTAAATTGCGGACTTCCGGCGACTTAAATTCCGCCACCGCCGAGAGTATCTTCCACACCACTACACGCCGTGTGGATTAGGACTAAACTAGATGGCTGGGACTCATGAGCAGCAGCTACCAAATCTCCTGCAACTTCCTTTATTTTATTTGCTTGTGAGTTCCAGCCATCTAGTTTAGCCCCACTCCATGCCGCGCGCAGCGATACTCTCGGCGGTGGCGGAAGTCCGCAATTTACATGTGACTGAGGCCCTGTTAGGATGTGTTTTCGGCCTCGATAATTTGGGACCGTTATTCGGAAGATAGCCGAAACTTTTCTGCTTGTATTAGTATCTAACAATTAAATGGACAACATATTTCCGTGTTCAAAATATTTAAAAGGTGCATATGCCTATATAGTACAGCTTTATGCGATTAGCTGGTATAACTGAAAACGGTAGGGGTGTCAGGACTTTGTATATTTTAGGGCCATCAAGTCTAACCTCGGCCCTGGCTACGACATCCCCAGGACGTCCTGCAGACAACGGTGGAGATTGTCCAGTTGACTGTGACAGATCCCTTGCCACCAGTCCAAACTTATTTATTGTCAGCAAAAAAGACTTTAGAACCAGAGAAACTGCAGCAACACCTACCTGTTAATCGGGGGAAATATGTTGATGTCTGATGGAGAAGAAGGTAGAGTTGCTTACTAATGTTGTTGTTGTTGTCTGTGGACAAGTGTACATGGGTGGCCAGTCACGCTTACCTCCCCTGTCGCCTGGCAACGCTAGGTGCCTGCTGACTTGTTACACTTAGGGTTATAGGGCCACGCTATGGGGATCTCCTTGGCTTTAGGGCCACTATAGGGGTCCCAAGTTGTAGGGAGAATCTGGGTGTCATCAGGGCAAGATTCTTGATTGATAATACTAAGAAGGAGGATAAAAGGAGGAGGAGGAGAAGCAGAAGAAGAAGAAAAAGAAGAAGAAGAAGAAAAAGAAAAAGAAGAAGAAGAAGAAGAAGAAGAAGAAGAAGAAGAAGAAGAAGAAGGGGGAGGAGAAGAATGGTATTATTATCATTATCACTTTGTTATAGTTTAATCAAACTTTATCCGAATAGCCTAGGGGTTCTTAGTCCAGGTGGTATCAATATCCAACATACCTTCATCTAAATAGTTCTATTCTTATGACATTTTAAATGTTAATTATTTTATTTTCTTCTCTTTTATTTTATTTCATATTATTACTTTATTCTATTTCTTATCAGTCAGTATCATTTATATATCATTAACATTTGTATTTCTTTTATTCCCAGTATTATATTAACAATACTACTGTTTATTATTTTTTGTGACTATATTTTGTAGCTATCGTTTGTTTTATTTTATTTCATTCATTCCACACCACATTTTTTTAAACGTTGCTCACGTCACTCCTTAGAGATCTACATACTCTCATTCCTCGTTGTTATGTTTGTGTAGTTCACTTATGTTTGAAAAAGGCCGCCCGGTCGAAACGTTACGTTGTGTTGTTTTGTTCCCGTTTTTCTGCTTCCCCATTTTGTTGAGCTTTTTTAGTCAAATTTCTCTGGAATTCTTTGCTTGTATTAGCTTGACTGCAGCGACCCCCATATTTTCACAATTTCTGCAACACTGTACGGTAAAACAAAAACTAAGACCGGCTATGCATAAATACTTTATTATCTCAAGAAAGAATGACATATTTAATGTTGGCGTCTAAAGAGGCAAAACTTCTGTTTTCTGGAATAAATAAAATAGCAAAGCTACTTGCTACGGGGCGAGATTATTGACAGACAAACACCGCAGGAGAAACACATTCAATTGTTTTATAGAGAGACAAAAATGTAGCAATATTTACAGCACACAAATTGTATTCTTTAAAGTCAGTTACGTATCATTTATAGGACGTTGCGGAACCAACCTCAGCATTTTTACGTTGTTGAGGTTTCTGAAGGCAAATTTTACATTCGATAGTTTGCCATTTGACTCAACGGTCAGCTCTCCGTACCAAAGTAGAAGCCAGCGCAAGGCGGTCTGCTGCCAAATCGCCCTCAGCTGGGATCGAACGCCGAAGACACAGACAACGACTTTGAATAGCAAAGGTCACAAATATGATTAATTGGTACCTTTTCGTCTTTCCAGCCGACAGTGTTATGTTGCGCTATGGGGAGGCATGGGACTCACAGTCCATGGCGATGGCGAGTGTGACTTACAAGACCAGCCCACGTTAAGAAAAGTCTTACACAATTATAGCACGGAATATCAGGATCATTGTTGTCAACATTTGTGTTTAGTCTGTTTCTTCTCAGACGTTCATCTCTTATCCTTTCTGCTTTAATTCCTTCCTTCATTCTAATTTCCTTCCCGATGTCCCCCTCCTCACGACATGGTCCATGACATTTTGTTACCACAAGTCCACCTTAATACCTATATCATTCATGCCCGCACACATCTTTATATCATAGTCGAGGTCAGCCTTGACATCTTCTAACGATCTTTAATTCAACACAGAGGATGTCCTGATGGACAACACAGAGGATGTCCTGATGGACTCCACAGAGGATGTCCTGATGGACAACACAGAGGATGTCCTGATGGACTCCACAGAGGATGTCCTGATGGACAACACAGAGGATGTCCTGATGGACTCCACAGAGGATGTCCTGATGGACTCCACAGAGGATGTCCTGATGGACAACACAGAGGATGTCCTGATGGACAACACAGAGGATGTCCTGATGGACAACACAGAGGATGTCCTGATGGACTCCACAGAGGATGTCCTGATGGACTTCACAGAGGATGTCCTGATGGACAACACAGAGGATGTCCTGATGGACTCCACAGAGGATGTCCTGATGGACAACACAGAGGATGTCATGATGGACTCCACAGATGATGTCCTGATGGACAACTTAGAGGATGTCCTGACGGACTGACTCCACAGATGATGTCCTGATGGACAACACAGAGGATGTCCTGGTGGACTCTGCCATCCTCCATTCTTCCTGTGTGACCCAGTCATAAATATGACATTTTGTAAATATATACGGGTGTATCTAAGACTGGACACAATAATTTGACAGTTTTAACATGTACTAAAAAATCACCGGTCACTGTCATCATCATCATCATCCTCAGGTGCCTTGCCGACTGGCGTGGGCATTCATGCCTCTCCATAATCTTCGATCTCCTGCAGCATGTATCAGTTCGTGTGCCGACACACCTCCATGCCATGCAACAAGACTGTCAAGCATCTTCTCTCGCTGTCTTCCTCTATCTCTCCTTCCACAGATCTTTCCAGTGGTCACAACATGTTCTATTTTCCCTCTTCTCATAACATGGCCGACAAATAATGACTGTCTCCTTCTGATGTCTGTGATAAGTTGTCTTCGGGCTCCTGCCTCTTTCAAAACCTCTTGGTTGCTCTTTTTGGCTGTCCATGGTATTCTAAGCATTCTTTTGTAAAACTACATCTCTGAGGCTTCCAGAAATTGTTTGGCCGGACTACCGATTGTCCAGGATTCACAGCCATATGTTAAAACTGGATGTGTGTAGCAAGCAAGAGTTCTTTTTCTAACTCTCAATGTGAAGGATATATTGCACAAGATGTTTTTCATTTTATAAAATGCAGTTTTTGCCTGTCCTATTCTATTTATCTCAGTTATGCATCTTCCGGCCACCGTACAGTATCATAACTTGCATGTACGTCTAAAATACGTAATGACTGGAGTCACAATGACATTGCTAACTGACAAGTTACATGACCAAACCATTCAATCTGTTGTCTACCGATTAAATTCAGTATTGGTTCTGCACCGACTCTCCTCGTGGTATCATCGTTCCTATATCGATCTTTCTGGATTATACCTTGCATGACATGTAAACATTTTATTACTGTCCTTTTTTTCTTCTGTCTTCTAAAGACAGTGTCTCTGTTTTATTTCAGCAATGGATATTTATGTCTATCAGTTATAAATGGCTAATGAAAAGACGTGTTATTTTGCTAAGATGAAACAAGAAAATAAGGAAGTCTCACGTTCTGTCAGGTTTGTTTTATCTGATTATAAGTAAAGTCACAGAAAATGTTGAGAACAGTGCTTTCTTGTTGTGAATGTAAATGATGTAAGCACAAACAATACATTGCACATTTTATTGCCTGGCATAAACCGTATCGATAAAACGGAACTCTTCTGTGTTATGTAAGCAAAAAGAGCAAGTGATAAATTTGAAATTACCATGGTAATCCCACAGCTTATCTCGAATTTCCGGTGGAGAGATGTACAAAACCTAACTTGACAATGTGATTTGTATATTTCAGCGAAATTTTGTGTGCTTCACTTTAGTTTATGTTGATTTAACTCTGTAGTAATGCTCCTGACGAGATACAGCCAAGTATGCCATGCAATAAATTGTACACTGTACAGTTTCTGTCCAGCAATGTAGAAATGTGTCTAGTCTACGGTCATTTAATGATTCATTACACTCATTACCATCAGATTTAATAGATTTATACAGCAAATCCGAGAGACACGCACGCACACACACACACACACACAGAGAGAGAGAGAGAGAGAGAGAGAGAGAGAGAGAGAGAGAGAGAGAGAAAGAGAGAGAGAAAGAGAATGTTAACAGTAATTGCTTTTTTCATTTTCTATCTCGATTTCTTTTTTCCCTTTTCTTTCTTTTCTTTTTTCTCCCTGTCTTTGAACTCCTTCTGCCAGCCCTTGGAGTGACGACAGAGCAGCACGGGAGCGGGCGAGTGGTGGACGATGTAGTCACTGCAGCTGCCCATGATGGTTCTCCTCACCTGGCTCTGTCCTCTAGTTCCTGTCATGAACAAACAAACAAACACATCTACAGTCACACATATATTTTTTTTGTGTGTACCAGATAAATAGAATGTGTTTGCATTGAAACCCACAAGGACATAGAAATTAAGGTCCCTCCCCACACAAACATACAAAACCCACAAGGACATAGAAATTAAGGTCCCTCCCCACACACACATACAAAACCCACAAGGACATAGAAATTAAGGTCCCTCCCCACACACACATACAAAACGCACAAGGACATAGAGATTAAGGTCCCTCCCCACACACACATACAAAACGCACAAGGACATAGAAATTAAGGTCCCTCCCCACACACACATACAAAACCCACAAGGACATAGAAATTAAGGTCCCTCCCCACACACACATACAAAACCCACAAGGACATAAAAATTAAGGTCCCTCCCCACAAACACACATACAAAACCCACAAGGACATAGAAATTAAGGTCCCTCCCCACACACACACACATACAAAACCCACAAGGACATAGAAATTAAGGTCCCTCCCCACACACACACATACAAAACCCACAAGGACATAGAAATTAAGGTCCCTCCCCACACACACATACAAAACCCACAAGGACATAGAAATTAAGGTCCCTCCCCACACACACACATACAAAACCCACAAGGACATAGAAATTAAGGTCCCTCCCCACACACACACATACACAAAACCCACAAGGACATAGAAATTAAGGTCCCTCCCCACACACACACATACAAAAACCCACAAGGACATAGAAATCAAGGTCCCTCCCCACACACACACATACAAAACCCACAAGGACATAGAAATTAAGGTCCCTCCCCACACACACATACAAAACCCACAAGGACATAGAAATTAAGGTCCCTCCCCACACACACATACAAAACCCACAAGGACATAGAAATTAAGGTCCCTCCCCACACACACATACAAAACGCACAAGGACATAGAAATTAAGGTCCCTCCCCACACACACATACAAAACCCACAAGGACACAGAAATTAAGGTCCCTCCCCACACACACATACAAAACCCACAAGGACACAGAAATTAAGGTCCCTTCCCACACACACATATAAAACCCACAAGGACATAGAAATTAAGGTCCCTCCCCACACACACACATACAAAACCCACAAGGACATAGAAATTAAGGTCCCTCCCCACACACACATACAAAACCCACAAGGACATAGAAATTAAGGTCCCTCCCCACACACACACATACAAAACCCACAAGGACATAGAAATTAAGGTCCCTCCCCACACACACACATACAAAACCCACAAGGACATAGAAATTAAGGTCCCTCCCCACACACACACATACAAAACCCACAAGGACATAGAAATTAAGGTCCCTCCCCACTCACACACATACAAAACCCACAAGGACATAGAAATTAAGGTCCCTCCCCACACACACACATACAAAACCCACAAGGACATAGAAATTAAGGTCCCTCCCCACACACACATACAAAACCCACAAGGACATAGAAATTAAGGTCCCTCCCCACACACACATACAAAACCCACAAGGACATAGAAACTAAGGTCCCTCCCCACACACACATACAAAACGCACAAGGACATAGAAATTAAGGTCCCTCCCCGCACACACATACAAAACCCACAAGGACACAGAAATTAAGGTCCCTCCCCACACACACATACAAAACCCACAAGGACACAGAAATTAAGGTCCCTTCCCACACACACATATAAAACCCACAAGGACATAGAAATTAAGGTCCCTCCCCACACACACACATACAAAACCCACAAGGACATAGAAATTAAGGTCCCTCCCCACACACACATACAAAACCCACAAGGACATAGAAATTAAGGTCCCTCCCCACACACACACACATACAAAACCCACAAGGACATAGAAATTAAGGTCCCTCCCCACACATACATACAAAACCCACAAGGACATAGAAATTAAGGTCCCTCCCCACACACACATACAACACACACACACACATACAACACACACACACACATACAACACGCATGGAGAAGGGAGCTAGAGATCACAAGACGGGGAGAATATGGGGAGAGCTGGATGCGTCAGCGAAGGATAGAATGACTTGACGTGAGTCGGTTGAAGGCCTATGCTCCATTTAGGGTTAGAAGAAGAAGACAAAGAAGAAGAACAAGAAGAAGAAGAAGAAGAAGAAGAGGAAGAAGAAGAAGAAGAAGAAGAAGTAGAAGAAGAAGTAGAAGAAGAAGAAGAAGAAGAAGAAGAAGAAGAAGAAGAAGAAGAAGAAGAAGAAGAAGAAGAAGAAGAAGAAGAAGAAGAAGAAGAAAAAAAGAAGAAGAAGAAGAAGAAGAAGAAGAAGAAGAAGAAGAAGAAGAAGAAGAAGAAGTAGTAGTACATTATCTCCAGATACACAGAGACTAGAACCAAACAATTGTAGATTATCTACACACATGCAAAGACTGGAGTCGCACATAATCAGATTATATATATATATATATATACATACACACACACATACGCGCGCACACGCGCACAAGCGCACGCGCACACGCGCACGCGCACACGCACACACACACCACACACCCCACACCCACACACATACACACACACACAGTAGAGCCACTCCGAATCAGATTATCTACATACATACAAAGACTAGAGCCACAGAGAATCAGATTATATACATGCATACAAAGACTAGAGCCACAGAGAATCAGATTATATACATGCATACAAAGACTAGAGCCACAGAGAATCAGATTATATACATGCATACAAAGACTAGAGCCACAGAGAATCAGATTATCTATATACATACAAATACTAGAGTCACAGGATCAGATTATCTACAGACAGGCACAGGCTAGAGCCACACATAATCAGATTATATACACACATACTCAGACTAGGGCCTCACAAAAAACAACACATAAATTTGATCACTGAGAATTGAACTCAAGATCCCCAAGCCTGCAAGGGAACCTAGCTACCGAGATACTAAGGCTCTCGTGTATATTTATGTGTGTGTGTGTGTATATATATATATTTAGAGAGTGAGACAGGGAGAAAGAGAGCGAGAGAGAGAGAGAGACATATAGGCAAGTAGACACAGGAGATAGGCAGTCAGATAAACAGGCAGACAGACAGACAGAGAAACACACATGTAGTTACTGACCAATGACAACAAATTTGACACGCTTTTCCTCGGCACACTCCACGATAGCATGTCCGGGCTTCTCATGGATGATACGGAGAAACTCGCCCTCGATCTGTGGACACCAGGTACAGCACCATCATTCATTCATTCATTCATTCATTCATTTGTTTTTTCGTTCGTTCGTTCATTCATTCATTGTCCTCTTGTTCCCTACACGACACATAGGGCTCGCAGTCTATTCACCCATTCCCTTCTATCCTGTGCAATCTCTTCGATATCATGAGCAGAATGCAAGCCCAACAGCAACAGAACACCATCACCTCACAAGTACAAGGCCAGGTACTCAGGTAATCGGAGTTCTAACATCACAGCAGACGGGTCATCCCGTAGTTGCTCTGTTGCTGTGACAACGAAAACCACACAGAATGTCTGTCACTCCCCCTTGTTGGAAAATTGACACAAACTGCAAACAGAAATGTTAACACAAACAGTCCGACACTAGAAACGTAGCTGATTATCATCGGAAGCAGCGGTTACAACAGATCAGTAGTTGCACACACCATTATTCACATAAGGCACCATCTGTTAGTTCTGTGACCACGTTAAGTACAGTCAGAAATCATTCTAAATAAAATCTGCAGCTCGCAGTGTCACGCCATGCACGCCATGCACCTAGTTGGCCACTTTCGCCCTTGCTTGCTTACAAAGGCCCGTTAGCAATGCTGTAGTTGAGAGAATATTCTCTCTTGTTACTTCAACTAAATCAAAAGCAAGAAATAAAATACAACTGGATTTTTTTGATGCAGTTGTCAGAATTAGAGCAGAGCTATTGATATCAAAGAAATGTTGCAAAGACTTCATTCCATCTGAGAAAATGCTTAAAGATTTTACATCCGAAAAGGTTTATTCTGCATCTTCCACTGGTTCCAGTGAGGATGACAGTGAAGAATTCAATCTAGAGCTTTTGATGTGAAGTGGGTACAATGTTTCACTTTATTTGGCAATTTTCTGGCATATTTTGGGTGATGGTTTAGCATAAAATGAAATTTTTTATCTGGCAACCAAACTTGAGTCGACAAGCACGTTGATTGTCCAGGATATCAAGGACATCAAAGGAATGAAAAGACACAAGGAGGAAGAGTTGAAGTAATGGGGATTTGTTTTTGTGACTATACGACGGGGAAACCAATCACTAAAGGGGAGCTGAGAGTTTCCTAAATTTAGTGACTGCTGCTACCACCCCACTGTTAGCGGTGTCATGCTGAGGTGGGGAGTGGACGACACACAGCCCCTATTTAGCATGTCTTTCTTCTTATTCTCAAAGTCCATGCCGTGTGGCGTTGGTGGTTATGTCCATCCACAACCTTCTGTCTCGTGTACTTTCAGTCAACTCTGACACAGATGATCCTTCATGCCATGATGTCAGACTGTCCAGCATATTTTCGCTCAGTCTCCCTCTGCCTCTTCTCCCCTTGAAATTTCCTACTGTCATGATGTACTTCAGTTCTTTCCCTCTCATCACATGCCCAAAGAATGTAGATTGTCTCCACCTGATGTGAACAGTCAGTTCTCTTCGTGAGTCAATTTTAATTTTTTTTCAAGGCTTCATTACTCTTTTTATCTGTCCAAAGTATTCTCATCATTCGTCTATAAAACCACATTCCCGCAGACTCCAAATAATGTTTAACTAATCTACCAACTGTTAATAATTCATTTCCTTACATAAAGATAAAAATTTATATAGCTTTTAAGAATTCTGTGGGATTGTGTGTGATTATGTCTCTGTATAGGCGTGTCTGTGTTTACGTGTCTGTGTGTGAATGCGTGTGTTTGTTTGTGTGTGCGTACGTGCGCTTCGTTGTGTTTGTGTGTGTGTCTATGTGTGTGTGAATGTCTGCATGCGTGTCTTCTGTGTGTCTTTGTGTGTATGTGTCTGTGTGTACATGTATGTGAGCGACTGTCTGTGTTTGTGTGTATGTATGCAAAGTGTGTCTACGTGGGCATGACTGCCTGTGCGTCTGTGTATGTGTCTGTGTGTGTTTGTTTGTGTGAATCTTTGTGTCTGATGTGTTAGTATTTGGCGTCTGTCGGTGTGTATCTATAAATGTATGTTTGTGTGTCTGTGAGTGTGCGCGTGTGTGTGTGTATGACTATGTGTATGTGTCTACATATGTATCTGTGTGTGTGTCTGCATGTGCCTGTGAATGTGTTTGCGTGTCTGTGTGTGCTATGTGTACCTGGCTGTGTGTGTGTCTTTGTAGTGTTTGTGTGTGGGTGTGTGTTGGTATGTGCCTGTGTGTATTTGTGTGTTGGCATGAATACCTGTTTATACGTGCGTCTCTGGATATTTGTATTGTGTGTCTGTGTATCTATGTATCTGTGTCTGTGTGTGTTTGTTTGTGTGTATGTGTGTGTTTGCGTGTGTAGGACTGTGTGTATGTGTCTGTATGTGTATCTGTGTCTACATGTGTCTGTGCGTGTGTTTGCTTGTATGTGTGTTCTACGTGTATGTAGCTGTGTGTTTGCCTGCGTGTGTTTGTATGTGTGTGTCTTTGTTGTGTTTGTGTGTGTGTGTGTCTTTGTATGTGCCTGTATGTGTATGTTTGTCTGCGTAATTGCCTGTGTATATGCGCGTCTCTGTGTGTATATATCTGTGTATGTCTCTGTGTGTGTTTGTCTGTGTGTATCTCTGTGTGTAGTGTCTCTGGATGTGTCAACATGTATGTGTATGTGCGTGTGTGCCTGTGTATATGTATTTCTGCGTATGTGTTTGCGTTTGTGTGTCTGTGGGTGTGTATCTGTGCGTGTGCCTGTGTGTATGAATCCCTGCTTATGCTTCTGAGTGTGTGTGTCTGTGGTTGTGTGTGTGTCTGCGTGAGCATCAGCGCGTGTGTGTGTGTCTGCGAGTGTTTGTGTGTCTCCGAGTGTATCTGTGTGTGTTTGTGTCTGCCTGTGTTTGTGCATATGTGTCTGTGTGTGTCTGCGTGTGTGCATGCTGGTTTGTGTGTGTGTGTTCGCATGTGTGTGTCTGTGTGTGTGTATCTGCCTGTGTGATTGGGTATGTGCGCGAATGTCTGTTTGTGTGTGTGTGTGTCTGCATTTGTTTCTATGGGTGTGTCTCTGTGTTTATATCTGCATGTTTAAATGCGTGTGGAATGTGCGTGTCTGTGTGGGTATGTAGCTATGTATGTGGGTGAATGGGGTGTATTTATGTGTGTGTGAAGGTATGTGGGTGTGTTTAAGTGAGTGTGTGAGTGCGTGTCTGTGTGGGTATGTAGCTTTTTATGTGGGTGAATGGGGTGTGTTTATGTGTGTGTGAAGGTATGTGGGTGTGTTTAAGTGAGTGGGTGGGTGTGTGTGTGTGTGTGTGCATGTGCATGCATTTTACCACCCATGCTTTTGTGCTTTTTTTTCTTCTCTTTTTTTTATATTCATAATATGCATATAAATTATCATATAAATATTACATGCTTATTGATAAAATACAGCTGCAGTGTGAAAGACGGGTGTTTGGAAGGGCCGAATGTAAGACGGGCCTGCGTGCCCAATTTGTAACACTTTGAAAATAAAGTTCGTTCGTTCGTTCGTTCTCTTTCTCGACTCAATTAAAATAAAAAGACTGCATTAAATATTCTTTATTTTGTCATTTAGGACGACTCATTGAAGGTATTTCCTTCGTAGTCTGAATGCATCTACCTCATAGGCGAAGAACCAACAGTGCTAATACAAATAAGCCCGATCTGAAAACGGATTTGCATGCAAAACCCAAGTTCCGGAAAAAGATCAACATGTAGAAGTGGATGAACAACCAGAACTTTCCATTGGCGTTTACAGCTGTTGAAAACAAAGAAGAATATGAAGATGATAACTGCTTCAGAGCAGAAAATCCTGGGAATAAATATCCAACTGTGTCCTAGAGAAACAGACTTGCATGTGCTTGCTTGACGGTTAGAGATGTACATAATGAGGCGTCAACTAGAGATGTACTTAATGGTGCATCAACTAGAGATGTACATAATGGTGCATCAACTAGAGATGTACATAATGGGGCGTCAACTAGAGATGTACATAATGGTGCATCAACTAGAGATGTACATAATGGTGCATCAACTAGAGATGTGCATAATGGGGCGTCAACTAGAGATGTACATAATGGTGCAGCAACTTGAGATGTACATAATTGGGCGTCAACTAGAGATGTACATAATGGTGCATCAACTAGAGATATATATAATGGTGCATCAACTAGAGATGTACATAATGGGCGTCAACTAGAGATGTACATAATGGGGCGTCAACTAGAGATATACATAATGGTGCATCAACTAGAGATGTACATAATGGGGCGTCAGCTGGAGATGTACATAATAGTGCATCAACTAGAGATTTCATAATGGGGCGTCAACAAGAGATGTACATACTGGGGCGTCAACAAGAGATGTACATAATGGGGCGTCAACAAGAGATGTACATAATGGGGCGTCAACAAGAGATGTACATAATGGGGCGTCAACAAGAGATGTACATAATGGGGCGTCAACAAGAGATGTACATACTGGGACATCAACTAGAGATGTACATAATGGGGCGTCAACAAGAGATGTACATAATGGGATGTCAACAAGAGAAATCTATCGCAAAGCTCTAGTTAGAGCAGATATTGTGGTCTGAAGATTGACGTCATTAGATGATAAATAGGTTGACTGTACTCACCCCTCGAGCTTCCATCTTCTCCAGGTATTTGACCTTCATGGCTTCAATCTTTTCTTCATACTGCTTCAGGTGTTCCTGTAGCTTGGTGTGACCTGGGGAACAGCAACAGTGGTCATCTTAACTGCATAAAGACAATAAGGTAACAAGTGCAGCAGTGTTGTAATGATGTTACTGTAACCGGGGGACAGTGCTTAGCCTAAATAAAGGAGATTAGCAACACGTGTGAGGATGTTGTGCAGTTGTATTTATATGATACCTACAAAAACAGCATAATAAAAGCGCTGTGAATAGGTAAGAGCACTATACAGGAAGCCAAACAACAATAAGAAACCAAAACAGAACTGATGTCGTCAGTCGCTATACGCTGTAGGGTTTAATGAGAACAGAATCTGAGCACTTTAGGACTGAATGGTTCAATGTCAATGAGGATAGTCTGTCGACTAAATGTTTGAAACCGTCGACTAACTAACTGTTTGACACCGTGTACTAACTAACTGTTTGACACAGTCGACTAACTAACTGTCTGACACCGTCGACGAACTAACTGTTTGACACGGTCGACTAACTAACTGTTTGACACCGTCGACTAACTAACTGTTTGACACCGTCGACTTAACTAGCTGTTTGACACGGTCGACTAATTAACTGTTTGACACGGTCGACTAACTGTTTGACACCGTCGACTAACTTACTGTCTGACACCGTTGACAAACTAACTGTTTGACACCGTTGACTGACTAACTGTTTGACACCGTCGAATAACTAACTGTTTGACGTCGTCGACTAACTAACTGTTTGACACCGTTGACTAACTAACTGTTTGACACCGTCGACTAACTAACTGTTTGACACCGTCGACTAACTAACTGTTTGACACGGTTGACTAATTAACTGTTTGACACGATCGACTAACTGTTTGACATCGTAAATTAACTTACTGTCTGACACCGTCGACTAACTAACTGTTTGACACCGTCGACTAACTAACTGTTTGACGTTGTCGACTAACTAACTGTTTGACACCGTCGACTAACTAACTGTTTGACACCGTCCACTAACTAACTGTTTGACACCGTCGACTAACTAACTGTTTGACACCGTCGAATAACTGTTTGACACGGTCGACTAACTAACTGTTTGACACCGTCGACTAACTAACTGTTTGACACTGTTGACTGACCAATTGTTTGACACCGTCGACTAACTGTTTGACAAAGTCGACTAACTAACTGTTTGACGTCGTCGACTAACTAACTGTTTGACACCGTTGACTAACTGTTTGACACCGTCCACTAACTAACTGTTTGACACCGTCGACTAACTAACTGTTTGACACCGTCGAATAACTGTTTGACACGGTCGACTAACTAACTGTTTGACACCGTCGACTAACTAACTGTTTGACACCGTTGACTGACCAATTGTTTGACACCGTCGACTAACTGTTTGACAAAGTCGACTAACTAACTGTTTGACACGGTCGATTAACAAACTGTTTGACACCGTTGACTGACTAACTGTTTGACACCGTTGACTGACTAACTGTTTGACACCGTCGACTAACTGTTTGACACCGTCGACTAACTAACTGTTTGACACCGTCGACTAACTAACTGTTTGACACCGTCGACTAACTAACTGTTTGACGCCGTCGACTAACTAACTGTTTGATACCGTCGACTAACTAACTGTTTGACACCCTTATACACAGGGATTCAATTGCTGGTGTTTACTTGGCTTCTTTTCAGTAGATTTAAAGTGTTACGTGCCTGTCTTGGGAACAGCAAGAAAGTCATAGAAGATTGACGTTACTGTTGTTTTTGTTGTTGCTTTCCCATTACAATGACAGATTTTTTACTCTGATCTTTAAACTGACATCTCCTTTTCATACCTCAGTGGTGCCGGATGTAAATGTTTAAACGCCTCAGTGGGAACACATGTAAGTACACACATAAACACGCCTTACACAGGCATAGGTAGCAGTTGGGATCGGAGCTTTGCAAGGAGAGTTTAAACCTTCAGCCCGCCCCCCCCCCTCCTTTTTATCCAAATAAATTTTTAAAGAAGAGAGAACGTACTTACTCACCAGGGAGACGTGTACATACAGGAGGGAACCTGCTTAATCCCCAAGGAGACATGTACAAAGAGAAGGGAGACCTTACTCACGAAGGAGACATGTACAAAGAGAAGGGGACCTGCCTACTCACCAGGGAGACATGTACAAAGAGAAGGGGACCTACCTACTCACCAGGGAGACATGTACAAAGAGGAGGGAGACCTTACTCAGGAAGGAGACGTGTACATAGAAAAGGGGACCTACTTAATCATCAGGGAGAAATGTACAAAGAGGAGGGGACCTAATTACTCACCAGGGAGACATGTACAAAGAGGATCAGACCTACTTACTCGCCAGGGAGACATGAACAAAGAGGAGGGGACCTACTTACTCACTAGGGAGACATGTACAAAGAGGATTAGACCTACTTACTCCCCAGGGAGACATGTCCAAAGAGGAGGGGGACCTACTTACTCACAAGGGAGACATGTACAAAGAGGATTAGACCTACTTACTCCCCAGGGAGACATGTCCAAAGAGGAGGGGGACCTACTTACTCACAAGGGAGACATGTACAAAGAGGATTAGACTTACTTACTCACCAGGGAGACATGTACAAAGAGGATTAGACCTACTTACTCACCATGGAGACATGTACAAAGAGAAGGGATGAGACCGTTGTACTTACTCATCATGGAGACGTGTACAAAAAGGATTAGACTTACTTACTCACCAGGGAGACATGTACAAATAGAATTGGACCTACTTACTTATCAGGGAGACAGGTTCAAAGAGAAGGGGACCTTCTTACTCACCAGGGAGACGTGTAAAAGTGTACAAAGTGAAGTGATGAGACCGTTGTACTTACTCATCATGGAAACGTGTGTGGCTGGCTCCGGGACGTGGACCAGTATAAGTTTGTTCCCGGCCTTGTGAAAGTTGTGTACGTACCCTGGCGACACAAGATCATCTGTGTTATGCAGTCGAGCAAATGGATAGATCATACACATAACGAACACCACACAGAAAAAGGTTTTGACCGCGAACACGACAAATAACGAGGTCTTGGCTACAAAAACGACACAGAACGAGGTTTTGACATCGAACACGACACTGAACGAGTTTTTTGCCACAAACACGACATATAACGAGGTTTTGGTCACGAAACACGACACAGAACGAGGTTTTAGCCCCAGACACGACACAGAACGAGGTTTTAGCCCCAGACACGACATAGAACGAGGTTTTGACCGCGAACACGACACAGAACGAGGTTTTGGTCAAGAACATGACACATAACAAGGTTCTGACCACAACACATAACGAATGTTTTGGCAACGAACAAGACACAGAATGAGGTTTTAGCCCCAGACTCGGCACATAAAGAGATTTTGGCTACGAACAAAGCACATAATGAGGTTTTAGCCCGAACATGGCACATAACGATGTTATCATCATACGCTGCACCAGAGACCATGTAACTCGACACTTTCCCACACGCCATTAAGTCCGAGTGTTGATCGCTCTCCGTGTCTTTCTGTCAACTTATCTAGACAAGTAGTCTTCTGTCTACCTGTGTTTCTGGTGCCTTCACAGTTTTCTCACCGTTTCCAGACCCACTCAGTTCATATGATGAAAGAAACTACGATCATCTGGTTTTGATGTGCCCTGTGAGCTAGTATTCTGAAACAGCTTCTTGCACTTCTTGCCGAATTAGGGCAGCATGAGTTGGGCGAACCTCAGGTTGTGTTCAAAGCCCATCCTTCATCCCCTTTAGGATCAATGATAGTAACGGTGACTGAACAAGTCAGCGTGAGATGTGAAGTTTTTTGGGAGTCAACGAGAGCTCGGGAAGTTTTTGGGGAGTCTGGATAGCAGACAAAGGACAAAACAGAGGAGAAACTGGTCTCACTGAGGTTTCTCTTATCCAGCGGAAGAAAAAAAGTTCAGAGGCTCGACATCATAGCCCCGGTGTTTACCAGTTGTTAGCTCCGTCTTTCTGCGCACAACGGCTAACGGTGGCAGAGAGTCACACAAAGCACGAGCAGTCCGTGACACAACCCCACTACTTCCTCGAGAGTGCGAGGCAAACGGTTAGACAACTTGGTCACGAAAACATCCCACCCCCCCCCCCCTTTTTTCCGTCCCCAACATGTCAGTTTTATGTCGGTAACCACGAATTTGACTGATGAACAATTCTGAGCAGTGTGGGCAGGGAATTCTCTGGTGATTTGCTTCAGTGTCTTTCACTGCGTGTCTTTTCCGTATTGCTACTGCAGTTCTAGCAGCTTCACGGGCCACAGGTCCTGGATGAAGAAAGGAGCGCCAGGATGAGCTGTCACATGCAGCGACTTCCGAGGTTTTAGGATCAATACAAAAGTCTTTCAGTGAGGTTTGAGGTAGCGACAAAAATTTTTTAAAAGCACACACATTACTGGGAGTCGCCGTGGATCGGAAGGTCGTGGGTTCGGGTCCTAATGGAGCCGGACTTTTTTCCCCGAAAATAACCTTGGCTTCCAGGTCGACCCAGCCATGAGTGGGTACCATGTACAGCCCTGGGAAGTAAAGGCGACCGGTGTGATGCTGACCACATCCTTCACCAAGTGCCGATAGGTCTATAAAATATTGGTCTAGCCCTATATGCCAAATACGCCTAAAGGCGTGGAAAAGGGTCCTTTACTTTTACACACATCACTTAAGGGATGTATGTCCTCTACCCTATGCCTTACAAGCAGTAACCTGTGAAATACAAAGCACACACGGATAGCACATAGACGAGCGGAAACACAAGTCAGCAGCTGTACTCACAGTCAAAGGCGTACACAGAGTGTTCGCTGCCGTCCACACCCAACAGAACCAACACCTCATCCCCCGCCTCAGCCATGGCTGGTCACTTCTCTAAATGTGGCTAGATCACACAATCGCAGGTAACAGCTCCACGTCTGGACACTAGAAGGACGTTGACAGGTGAGATGGTCCAGAGATGAAAACTTGGCTGTAGTCAAAGCCTGAAGTCGATTCAACTACCAGCAACTGAAGACGTAGATCTGGATTCTGTGCATAAAGAGACAACAGGTACAGCATAGACAATAATGCTGGAATACCGTACTTGATTTATTTGTTTCTGTCTCAACGCTTCTCGTGTGCAAAAATCCAGTAGTCCACTGTGCTTCTTTCCTGTAGTATAGTGTGTAACATGTGCTTTTGTTTTGGAGTGTAGTGTATCACATGAGCTTCTGTCTTGTAGTGTAGTGTATCATATAGGCTTCTGTCTTGTAGTGTAGTGTATCATATAGGCTTCTGTCTTGTAGTGTAGTGTATCATATAGGCTTCTGTCTTGTAGTGTAGTGTAGTATATGGGCTTCTGTCTTGTAGTGTAGTGTATCATATAGGCTTCTGTCTTGTAGTGTAGTGTAGTATATAGGCTTCTGTCTTGTAGTGTAGTGTATCATATAGGCTTCTGTCTTGTAGTGTAGTGTATCATATAGGCTTCTGTCTTGTAGTGTAGTGTATCATATAGGCTTCTGTCTTGTAGTGTAGTGTAGTATATGGGCTTCTGTCTTGTAGTGTAGTGTATCATATAGGCTTCTGTCTTGTAGTGTAGTGTAGTATATAGGCTTCTGTCGTGTAGTGTAGTATATGGGCTTCTGTCTTGTAGTGTAGTGTATCATATAGGCTTCTGTCTTGTAGTGTAGTGTAGTATATGGGCTTCTGTCTTGTAGTGTAGTGTATCATATAGGCTTCTGTCTTGTAGTGTAGTGTAGTATATGGGCTTCTGTCTTGTAGTGTAGTGTATCATATGTGCTTCTGTCTTGTAGTGTAGTGTAGTATATAGGCTTCTGTCTTGTAGTGTAGTGTAGTATATGGGCTTCTGTCTTGTAGTGTAGTGTATCATATAGGCTTCTGTCTTGTAGTGTAGTGTAGTATATGGGGTTCTGTCTTGTAGTGTAGTGTATCATATATGCTTCTGTCTTGTTGGGTAGTGTATCATATATGCTTCTGTCTTGTAGTGTAGTGTATTATATGTGCTTCTGTCTTGTAGTGTATCATATGTGCTTCTGTCTTGTAGTGTATCATATGTGCTTCTGTCTAGTAGTGTAGTGTACCATGTGTGCTTCTGTCTTGTAGTGTATCATACGTGCTTCTGTCTTGTAGTGTATCATACGTGCTTCTGTCTTGTAGTGTATCATATGTGCTTCTGTCTTGTAGTGTAGTGTATCATATGTGCTTCCGTCTTGTAGTGTATCATATGTGCTTCTTTCTTGTAGTGTATCATATGTGCTTCTGTCTAGTAGTGTAGTGTACCATGTGTGCTTCTGTCTTGTAGTGTAGTGTATCATATATGCTTCTGTGTTGTGTTGTAGTGTAGTGTATCATATGTGCTTCTGTCTTGTAGTGTATCATACGTGCTTCTGTCTTGTAGTGTATCATATGTGCTTCTGTCTTGTAGTGTATCATATGTGCTTCTGTCTTGTAGTGTAGTGTATCATTTGTGCTTCTGTCTTGTAATGTATCATGTGTGCTTCTATCCTGTAGTATAGTGTATCACATGTGCTTCTGTCTTGTAGTGTATCATGTGTAGTGTATCATGTGTGCTTCTGTTTTGTAGCGTATCATATGTGCTTCTGTCTTGTAATGTATCATCTGTGCTTCTGTCTTGTAGTGTATCATATGTGCTTCTGTCTGTCTTGTAATGTATCATATGTGCTTCTGTCTTGTAATGTATCATATGTGCTTATGTCTTCTTCTGTCTTGTAGTGCAGTGTATCATCGGTCGCAAATAACTATCTTTGTAAACACATATCTTTGTCAAACTGGATTCGAACTAACTCCTCTATGCTGCCTAAGGATTGCATAAGTGCAATTGACTTTATTTGATTTTGTCTACCGAAGCAATCGATCGATCGATTTGTCCCGTACGGGCTGCTACGAAAAGTTTTACCATTCTATCCTGATGTGTACATTTCTCACTCTAGACGGCAGACCCTAGACACCCCAGTCTACCTCCTAAAAAGTTACAATTGTGCTATCGACAACTGTTACACCCGCTTGATGTTTTATTGAGTCTTGTGCAGCTAAGGACAGAATTCACGAAACAAAATTAACCACCGCATTTTGTTCCCTAGTCTACCTCTCTGGGACTGTAGTCTGGAAGAATGTTCAGAATCAAACATGTTCAAAACGGGGAACCCCGTTCAATCGTGTATCCATGTTGTTATTCTTTTTCTTCAGCATTCCGAGCCCTTGAGATTCATTGCTGCAGATATCACCCGCCTCCATGCATTTCTCTTGTTGGCCTTCTTCAGCATTCCGAGCCCTTGAGGTTCATTGCTGCAGATATCACCCGCCTCCACTCATCTCTCTGGTTGTTCTACTCTTTCCAGCTGGTGACACCACGTATTTGCAGTTCTCTCTGGATATTATCTCTCCATCGTCTTCTTGGTCTGCCTTGTTGTCTACAAACGTTCATCTTTATATAGCACAGTATAGCTCTATAGCACAGTATTATTGGGGCACCACAAAACATTTGTTTTTTTGTTTTTCACACTCTTTATAATGGAAAGAAACAAAAAAACAGCAGTGCATATTTACAAATGTATTGTGTGTGTTTTGTTGTTGTTGTGTTTTTACAATGTTACCGATTATTTGTGTTCGGTGCCATTTGCGAACACATTCCAAGTTTACAAGAACCACAAACCGATTTCAAAGTAATCTAGTCAAGCGGGAGTGGATTTTTGAAGTGAGTGGGTGATCGATTGATCAATTAGTTTGTCTCTTCTGAGCTATCATCTAAAAGTTTACCATGCCATCTTAAGATTTGAAGATCTCAAGGTGGATGGCAGACCCAAAAGGTAGATTGCAGATACCATCTATACCAGCCAAGTGTATTTGGCAGTTTTGTGTTCACAAGCGCCTATGTGTCAACAGGAAAGAATATCCAAGCTTGAAGTTGTGTAGCTGTGTGATTGTCAGGACCTGTCGCCTCAAGGTGTTCAAGGAAAGCCCTGGCAGATACACAGGGGTGGTGTCGTCGTTGCCCTGTTAGATGTACGCCGTGACACAGCCACAAAGAGTGCTTGTTTCTCTGTGTCTGCTCACTGTAGCGTGCATGGGTTCTTGGAGATAACATCAGTGTATGTATGTAAAAAAGAGTTGCCTTTCCTACCGGTTTCACACCGGTGATTGTCTCCCCTGTAACTAATAAATTGCTGAAGCTTTTCCTGTCCCGATATGCATTCTGCAATTACTATATTCCGTCCTAATTTGTGACGCAGTTTTTCATTTTTTTTTTTTTTTTGTAAACCCCATTCTTGCTGTAGTCTGATGTCTTGAACTTGGCGGTTGAACGGGGTTTCTGAGACTTGTGACCGGATTATCCTCATCCGAATGATTGCACTTGGTACCGTCCTGGTGGGGTTGAAAGACAAACATTTGCACGCAGCAGGATAAACATCTAAAGAGCGAGAATCAAACAGCTATAACTGCCGGACACCTCGTTTAACCGTATAGTTCCTTCCTTATGAGAACTGTTACTTAAAGACAGGGGGTAGACTAATTTTGGCCCGCTGAGCAATTTTTAATGACCCGCGACGTTGATTGATTGATTGATTCGCGTTCAACCCCACCAGGCATCACACCGACTGACACAAAGTGCCAACATTCGCATGAAGATCACCAGGAGACATGTCTTAGAAAACCCGTTCAGCCAGTAAGTTATATTAGGACCCCCAACCACAGCTGGGGTGGCGGCTTTAAAACAAAAACAAAAAATTGCTGCTCATACAGGATGCTGTTTGGAACTGAAGTATCCGCAACGCCGGTGTAAAATTATTATATAATCCGGCCCTTGTGCCCACAAAATAGCAGAACACAGAAAATATAGTCCACATGCAGAAAGAAAAAAATACATAGAAATATCAGCATCCGAAAAATGATGCCCTAAACACCGATAACCAGACAATTATGTTGCCAAAAGATTGATTCTGCTAGTGAAACACGTGTGGCAAATAAATTCAAATGTAGGGGACAATGTTTGTCGGCGGACTTTGATCATCATCATCATAATCAAAAAACGACTTTTGCCGTTAAGCTACGTACAGAGGAATAATTAGCAAATAAAAACATGGGATTCACGACTGACGCCATGGAAAGAAGAAGAATTTTTTTTTTTTTTTTAAATGGAATTCATGACTGACGCCACGGAAAGAAGAAGAATATCCACAAACGTAGGATTCAAGAAAAACAGAACTGACGCCATGGAAAGAAGAAGCATTTCTAAAAACATGGGATTCAAACAGAACAGAAGCCGAGGAAATTAAAGGCAGGTGTAAAACGTGTGTTTTAGAACAGGAGCAGAACATGTCGATTGAAAGCTTGTGATTCAAACAGAAATAGAGACATGAACATATCACAGTTACGTCACGGGCAAATATTATAATAGCGTTCACAGCCACGTTTTAATATTATGGAACTATTACCTGTTATTTATTGATCCTTGTTGTAAACAGATAACTAGGTTAGATGCGTATCCTTTACAGGACGTTTCAGAACCAATCCCAACAGCCCCTGGCTGTTGTGTGGTTTTTCTAGGCAAATTTACGTCCAGTAGTTTGCCATTGCTTTCTGCACGATCGGCTTTCTTGATACCACTGTCGAAACTAACGCAAGGCGCATGGCCCGCAGCTGGGATCGATCCCGGCATTACGAAGCGTCCGCGTCGACTTAGCCACAGATCCAACGAACAGATAACTACTGACTTTATAAAACGTGTAAACAACTGGTTACTTTACGAGTAATAAATCTGATATAAATATTTGACTACTTCGCTGGTTTACAAGTGAGTTGTATAAATACAATAACTTCGTAGATAAATAATAATAAACA